TAAACCAGGAAGCAAAAAGTGACACAAAGCAGAGGGTGACCTCAGTCCCAGAACACAAAACAAAACACCCAGCTCCCTTAGGATAAAGTTCTCTTTGGTTTGGGATTCTGCAGAGAAGCAAACCGGATCACCCTGCTTCCCGAAGAGTAATCTGATGCCAGTGATCCTTTTGGAAAAGAGCTGAACTAACAACCAGCCACAACAGAGAAAGCAGAGGCCAAGGTGTAGCTGGAGGTTTATATTACAACAGATGTACACGGGGCTCAGAGTCAACTGACTCAAACGGGGATTTGGAATTCGGCATATAACCAAGAACATCGTAAAGACATTAAAAGACAAAATGTGCATAAGGTTTCGATGAGCCAATAGCACTTACAATCACAGAGTCAGAAAGGACCTCAAAAGATCCTCTAATCTAACCCTCCACCAATGTAGGAAAGCCACTTGGACAGCATCCCTGATAGGTGGCCATCCTTGCCCATCAATCCCTCCTTTTCATCCCTGATGAGAATATTTGCTTAAGGAACTCTGTGTATGCTCTGCAGCCTTCCCTTCCTTATTTCCTCATGTGTCACAGGTCTAAAGCCTTGACTCAAAGACAGACCCCGAGCCCGCTCATAAATGGTGAGTAATTATTAAAAGTTCTTTGGGTGTAGCAGTATGGCAGGAGGTGTTTAAGCTTTAGTCTGTTTAAAACGGATGGTTCTATTGACTTCTATGGCACAAAATCAAGCAGCTGCATATAGGCAAGACCACAGATATGGGGCATGTTTCTGCCTCTTCTCAACTTCAGAATCATCAGTGCCTGGAGTGATCTTATTGAACACAGTCTTCCAGACTGCAGCCCATTCCGCCAGCCTGCATCAATGGGTGATATACGAAGCAAGGCTCATTCCATCAGCTGGCCATTATAAGAACTACTATCTGAAATTTGGTGCCTGAGTTATTCCTCTTCCCTCCTTGTCCCTTTCTCCTTGTGTGTCATGTTTGTCAATAATAATAATACTCTGCCTATCTGACTGGGTTTCCCCAGCCACTCTGGGCAGCTTACAGCATATATAAAAACATAATAAAACATCAAACATTAAAAACCTCCCAATACGGGGCTGCCTTCAGATGTCTTCTAAAAGTTGTGCAGTTCTTTATCTCCTTGACATCTGAAAGGAGGCCGTTCCACAGGGAGGGTGCCACTACCAAGAAGGCCCTCTGTTAGATTGTAAGCCTGCAGTTAGGGACTGTCTTGTTTCAACTGATTGCATGAAAGCCACTCTGGGCTGAAGAGCAGGACACAATTGCTTTAAAGAAATAAAATTCTCCCCTGTGGGGGACACTGTCATTTGGCTTCTTTTAACTAATCATATTTAAGATTAACCACAGTCTGGTCTGGGTTCAGACAACATGCTAATACTTAATCTAGAACAGAAGCAAAAGCTTCTGAATTTCTCCTCATGGCCACACCAAGGGGAAGGGACTCTTCTCAGCTCACCCTCAAATAGCTAAGCTATGGTTTAGTGCTTTGCCCGAAATCAGTTCATTAAGAAGAAGAAGGAGGAGGAGGAGGAGGAGGAGGAGGAGGAGGAGGAGAAGAGTTTGGATTTGATATCCCGCTTTATCACTACCCGAAGGAGTCTCAAAGCGGCTAACATTCTCCTTTCCCTTCCTCCCCAACAACACTCTGTGAGGTGAGTGGGGCTGAGAGACTTCAGAGAGAAGTGTGACTAGCCCAAGGTCACCCAGCAGCTGCATGTGGAGGAGCGGAGACACGAACCCGGTTCCCCAGATTACGAGTCTACTGCTCTTAACCACTATACCACACTGGCTCTCCCAGCCTGCTCCCATTCTGTACCTCCCTGCTTTGGATTGTACGGCTTGAACAGAATGCGGCAAAGACAGAAGCCAGAGAACGGCTTTTGTACACAGGACAACAACAACAACAACAACATCAAAGGAGATACTCGGAGAAGTGCTTCAAGCCACAACAGGCTAGGAAATGAATATTGGCTAGAAGGAGCAGACACAATTTCTGTATCCCAAAAAGTTGGACCAAACAAATAAGGTCATTCCGTGTACATACACATTTGTACAGAAAGAAAAAAAAAATGAATGGCCGCCACACAAAAGAGGGGTAGGGGGTGTGGGGAAGAAATTTGATTGTTTGCTTTTACAGGCAAGCCCACCACATTTTCTGAAACAATATTCAGACTGAAACACACCCATCTTTTGAAATTCACACTTCCCCAAATTTTGCAACGTAGCAGTCTAGCCAAGTAATGTTAATATATGCATGAAATGAAACATGTCACCATTAAAGTTATTTATGTTTCTGCAGTAATTTGCAATTTCTTTCTTTTTTTTGTAAAAACACCGAAAAAACCTTTTAAAAATCTGTCAGGATTTTAGTGCAAATTTCTCCTGACAAATTTTGGGATGCAGATTTGCCTGCTATATAGATCTTTGCAAAACAGTTTCCCAATATGTAATGCATTTGTATGTTATATTCATGAACGTATGAATTTTAGGCAGAGTTTCTCCATATATATGCAAAGTTTGTGACTGTTTGGAGAAATGTATTGCGAAATTCAGGGATGTGTGAATTTCAAAGAACAGCTGTGTTTTGTTTGGCATATTGGTTCAAGAAGCGTGAAATAGGTAGCCGGTCATTAAAATGCAAAAAAAATTGAATTTCTCCCCTTCCCTACTATTAACAAGGATGAAATAATCATTAAAGGAGGGAGAGGTTTCTTTCTTTCTTTTCCAAAAGAGCAATTCCTAAGATATCCCACTAGGAAATTTTGCCGATGCACATTTTAAAGCCTTTCTGAATAAAGATCCAAGAGCACTGACTTGAATAACGTTGAGAAAATGTCCTTTTCTAAAAGTGGAGATTCAGCCCAAATGAAGGGAAATGAAGGAGCTGAAATTCTATCAGCTGAAACATAATAAAACGCCTAATAAGGTAGGAGAAGGGGGGAGGGGGGAGGAACAGAGGAAGAAAAAGGAAGAATGAGAAGCATCTAGATAGAGACATAAAAGCCCAAGGAGAAGAATTTTAAAAGGGTTACATTAGAAGCAGGAAGCCTGCCAGGGAGAATTGCTTGGGTCATTAGACCATCAAGATGTAAAAAAAGCACTTAAGGACGACAGAAATATTGCAGAGAAGTTAAATGAGTGCTTTGCATCTGTCTTAGACAAAGACAAGGTTGGTGAGATACACCCAAGCTGTTCCCCATGAAGGCAATAAATCTGAAGAAATGACAGAAACTGAATCGTCTTTGGAGGACATTTTAGAGCAAATGGATAGATTAAACTCATAAATCACCAGGAGCAGATGGAATTCTCCCAAGAGTTCTGAAAGGAACTAAAGTTAAAAGCAAAAAAAAGAGAAAGGGGGGGGGGAGGGAGTAACTTTAGAACCCGGATCCAACAAGGAGCCCAGATTTTGAGAGAGGTTTGCCTTGCTGAATAATGACCACATGTGCAGAAATGGGCATGGCCAAAGCCCATGGATCCAGCGCTATTCCCGTTTGAGGAACATGGGATGCCACGCACACCTGCTTAACAGATGCTTGGCGCTGCCAGCTTCAACAGCATCCAGTACCATTTTTGGGGAGGTGGTGGTGATGGAGGAACTGCATCTAAGCACCCCTTTCCCATCCACCCAGAGGTGATTGATAGTGCCAAAGCTGACGGTGCCAAACATCTGCTAGGCTGGGAAATTTGTCCATGCACTCGACTGCTTTGCCTTGGAGTGTCAGGGCTTTAGCAGAGAGCTACAGAAATGCTAACATTCTGCTAGTTTCTTTTTTTAATTAAAAAGAAATCAACAACTGGGTGTGATGCTGGAAGCCTTAGGGCCAAGGGTAGCCAGTGTGGTGTTCCTCCAGATGTTGCTGACCTCCTTATCCCTCCATCATCCCTCACCATTGGCCATTGGCTTGCTGGGGCACACAGAAATTGGAGTCCAGCAACATTCCTGCATTGCAAGGGGTTAGATGAGAGGACCGTTGGTCAAGTCCTATGCTCCAGAGCAAGAGAAAACAAGCTTGCTCCATCTTCCATATGACAGCCCTTGGGGTATTTGAAGATGGGTATCCTATCTCCTCTCAGTCTCTTCTTTTCCAGGCTAAACATACCCAGCTCCTTCAACCGCTCCTCATAAGGCTTGGTTTCCAGAACCTTAATCATCTTTGATGCCCTCCTCTGAACATGATCCAGCTTGTCAACAACCTTCTCAAATTGTGGTGCCCAGAAGAAGACACAGTACTCCAGGTGTGGTCTGAACAAGACTCCTCTGTGAAGCTCTAGAGAACTGACGCCAATCCATTTGTGGCGTATACCCAAGTGGGGCTGAGTTCGTTGCACCAATGTCTGAACTCATTACAAGGCCTCTCTCTATGTCCTAAGCCTCAGGCAGATGCTTCACCACCTGAAGGTGCCAGGGATAGAACTGGGGCCTCCTGCCTGCAGAGGACTTGCTCTGTCCGCCACTGAACTATCTCAGGGAGCGGCCTCCACCCTCTACATCTCAACCTGCCACCACACCACTACTTCCATCTGTGGTTTGGGCCTAGCGTGCTGAAAGCTCATTCCAGGAAGCTCATTCATGAATTTAAGGGAGGGAGAATTGCCTTCAGAAGCATATTTTTACTTGCTGCATACATTCTCCCACACCTATGCATGATCACATGACAGAATAGCTTTGAACCACTGAAAATACTTGACAGAGAGAGAGAGAAAGAGAGGCAGGCAGGCCTCAATGCCCATTTTTAAAAAATAAATAGGGAGATAAATGACAGCCACTTCACCCAGCTCTCAGGGTCAAACTAGATGTCTCTCCCAGCTACTTTATTCTTGTCGAAAAAGCTTGCATTCTAGGTGACAGGTGTTTCTTCTAGTTTGGGCCTTAGTCTGTGATGTGGGGTGGGGAAACAGACGAGTCTGGATGGATGAATACAGGGTACAGAATGCACACAAGGGAGGGTGTGGGGTTGGATGCACACCTGACCAGGTGGGATGGCGAGGTGCGGTTGTTTCTGGCTGGCTCCAAAGCCACTTACCAGCTCGTCACGTTGGATCTCTTGGGACTTGTACACCATGCCTTTGACATCTGAGGCGGACACATTGACCTGTGGTGAGGGGAGAGGAGGAGATACTTAGATTTTGGAAGGGCTAAGGGAGAAAAAGGAGACTTCAAAGCAGTGTTTACCCTCTCCTCGGCACCAAATCCCTCCAGCAGCATAGGGCAGCTGTCATCTAGCGTAAATAGTTGGACTCCAACTCATATCAGCCCTAAACAGTTGGGCTTCCTCCAGACATTGCTGGACTCCTACTCCCATCCGTCCCAGTCAACATTGCCAATGGCCAGGGATGTTTTCAATATTGGTTTTTAAATGGTTGTAACCCACACTGGGACCAACTGGTAAAAAATTGAATAATAATTTTAATAACAGGAGTCCAACAACATCTGGAGGGCCAGATCAGTTTTGGTTTCTCTCTGTTTCTTATTTGCCCCCTTCAAGATCTTAAGTTTTGTTCTCCACATCAGTTTTAAAATGATTTTTAAAGAAGTCCTCATGAAAAATTATCAGGATTTTTGTGTGACCTTCTCCTAATATACACATTTTTGCAAGCAATTTCCCCCAATTTAATCATAGAATAGTAGAGTTGGAAGGGGCCACAAGAGTCATCTAGTCCAACCTTCTGCAAGGCAGGAATATTCTGCATGGTTGCATGCTGTTTTTGCTTACATATGCATCCTTATGGTCACTTTACCTAGCAACTCCAATTTTTGTACAAGTTACTTGGTTGGAGAACGGCATGGCTATTTTCAGAGAATGGCGAGTTATGAAGGATGGCTGCATTTCAATTTGCATATAGTTTCAGGAAGTGAGAATTGGGTAGGTTCCCCTTGAAATGACAACTTAACCACACACACACACACACACACACACACACACACACACAGTTCCTGGCCCCAGTCATCTTTGACTTAAAAGAGCCCAGCAGTTCCCCAATTCATGCTTGACAATGGGAGTTCAAAACAGGTGGGGAGGAAATGTGGTGCAGCCCATCCACAAAACCACAGTACGTCAACATCCCCATGGGGAACTACTGTATTTTTCGCTCTATAAGACGCACCAGACCACAAGACGCACCTAGTTTTTGGAGGAGGAAAACAAGAAAAATATATTCTGAATCTCAGAAGCCAGAACAGCAAGAGGGATCGCTGCGCAGTGAAAGCAGCAATCCCTCTTGCTGTTCTGGCTTCTGGGATAGCTGTGCAGCCTGCATTTGCTCCATAACACACACACACATTTCCCCTTACTTTTTAGGAGGGAAAAAGTGAGTCTTATATAGAGCAAAAAATATGGTATTTGTTTTCAGAACCTCATGGCCTAAAATTCTCCCTCCATTTGGAAAGCCAACACATCAGAGAGTTTGGTAGGCATCTATCCCCAGAAGTTGCAAGATGCTTAAGTCCATTTTTGATTTTGAAAGCAACACTTACTCACACAGCTAATAAAACTAAGAAGATAAAATGTTAGCGAGAGAGTTGTGGTGCCTAGACAGGGTGTCAGGCTAGGACTGAAGAGACTCAAGCTCAAAACCCCATTCAACTCACTGGTTGACCTTGAGCCAGAAAGTATGTCTCTCAGGCTGTGTACACACTATGCCTTTAAAGCAAATTCAAGCATGCTTTCCCTCAAAGAATTCTGGGCACTGTAGTTTACTCCTCATGGAGTTATAATAATCAGCAACCCTTAAGAAACCACAGTGCCCAGAATTCTTGGGTGGGAAGGATGTGCTTTAAAGATGGAGTGGGTCTCAAAATATCTCACAGGGTTATTGTGAGGCTGAAATGAGAGTTGTGGTAGGGGAACCATGGCCATCACCTTGAGCTGCTTGGAGTACAGGAAGGCTGTAAATATTAATAAAAACAATGAATGGTACAGAAACATCCAGCTTACCTTACGTTCATATTCGTACAGCAAGGCCTTGTCACTGGTTGGATAGTCATATTCTGCCAGCCCTGAAGCTGTGGAACAGAGGAACAGAGGTCTCAAGTCATTAAGCGTCTCAGGTATCACCATTTGCTCTGGCATGGAGTTATTTTGGACAAAAAATGACCCCAAACTCTTCTCCCCCCACACCACCAAAACTCACAAGGAGGTGGTGTTGTATATGGGAGTGGGGCACTCACCTTTCTTGTCCGATTGTTCAGAATCTGCCCGTTCCCCACAGAGCAGCAGGAGGAGAGATTAAGCATAGCATAAAGAAAGAAAAGAACAGAAAAAGGAAGAAAAGAAGACAAGTTTGAGGTCAAGAGTGTTGAGATAGCAGAAGGCAAAGCTAGCAAGTAGGGCAACTGGTTTTCAAGCTGTGTTTGAAGGAGCACTGCAGATTCACTGGACATGGTATATCATTAGTGGTTGGGGTAGGGACAGGTGCTAACCTATCTATTTTGGTTTCCCTCAATTCCTCATTTTTCAAATCTTAAATTCAGCTCTCCACCTTTCCATATCAATTTGCAAATCTCTTTTTAAAAGGTCCTCAGGAAAATTCATCAGCATTTTATTGCAAATTTCTCCACAGAGATTTTTGTATGCAGCGTTTTTAACATACACATTAAAGCAAAGTGGTTTCTTTTTTGTAAACAATGCATTTTGTATGTTATTTTCATTAACATGTGCACTTTTTTGCATACTTTACCCTAGTATGTGAATTTTTGTACACATTACTCGGCTGGAGAACTGCACTACAAAATTCAGAAACTTTCACATGTGAAAGGATGTCTGCGTTTCAGTTTGCATATTGTTTCAGGAAGTGTGAATTAGATAAATTTGCCTACCTCACCCCTAATCTGGGGGGTCCCCTCAAAGAGAAGACCAGCAATGGCAGAAAAGCTTCCCTGAAAGATGCTTTGGTAATCACTTCCTCTCTTGTAGGAGAGCACTGGGTGAGTTCTGAGTGTGTGGTCTATTGCACCCATGGCAATAGCAAGAAGTTGTTCCAGAACCTTCTATACTGAACAAGAGTTCCACAACTGATATTTAAGGGGCTTTTCCCCGAGGCAAACACATCGGTGGAAGAAAGAATTCCTTCTACAGGCAAAAAATGTTTGAAAGCCATTGAAACAAGGCATGCCAGAAAAAGAAAGTTAAGAACATAAAAGGAGTGCTGCTGGATTAGACCAAAGGCCCATCTAGTCCAGTATACAGGAAGCCAGATGCAGGACATAGGTTCAAGAGACCTCTCCCACTCGTTATCTCCAGTGACCGGTGTTCAGAGGCATATTGGAGGTAGTACACAGGCATTTTGGCTAGTTGACATTGATAGCTTCATTCCCCATGAATTTGTCTAACCTCCATGGGAAGCTGTCCAAGTTTGGTGGCCATCGCTATACCTTGTGGTGATGAATGACGCAGTTGAACTATGCGCTGTGTGAAGTAGTTGGTCAGTCCTGCCAACATTTTATTATTACTGCTACTACTATTACTATTATTATTAATAATAAAATGTATATCCCATCCTTCTTCCTGAAGGAGCCCTGGGCAGCAAATCCACAAAATATAAAACAACTAGAACATACAAAAACCGTTCTAATAAAGATGCAGACCAGGAATGATGACTACTTAAAAGGCTAGTTGAACCGGGAAGGACTTTGTTTAGATTTGTTGAGACTCCAAGTTCCAGTGAGCAAGAAAAACCCAGATCTCTGTCCACTTTCTGCACACCAGAGAACAAGGGCATGCCAAGCAGGTGCCCGGCCACTGCCCCTCCCCATCATGAGATATCATCATTTAGACAGCATCTGAAGAAAATAAAAACCACAGTTGGTGGCAAGCAGGGAGACAAAAAAAAAATATATGGGGAAGGTTCACTCTCCCAACAGCTGATATGTCTCCTCACATTCGTGGACCCATGACTGGGGACAAGAAAGTAAAAGGGACACGGCTCGTGGTTCATTGCAGGATACATGCAGCAGAACTGGAGACGTGATTCTGATGCGACGCTCCCTGTTGGACACAGAACTATTGTTGCAATGACTTCACTGCCTTTCCCCCCAAGCGGTTAGGGCCAGAAATGTGGACGTGAGGGAGAATGCCAATGAACGAGAGCATGAGGGTGCCTGGGACAGGGTAAGGCAGCCTCAGCCTAGCAATTTGTTCTTCTGCACCTTCCGTTTGGCCCCTTCTACATGCAGGTAGCCTCGAGGCACCGTCAGTGCGTAACGCAATGATGAATAGGTAGCAGCAGGAGTTCCTGGCAATGCTGGCCATCCATGTTGCTCTGTTCGCTTTCATTCCTACAGCTGCTGTTGTACGCTGTCAACTTTGCCTCTTTGGAGCACCATTCACAACACGGAGGTGATCGTTCTGGTGTAGCAGCCATCCAGCATAATAAGATCACTGCATCAGTCACCCTCTTTTCTCTTAGTTCATTGATAGGCTGCTGTTTTCCTCTAGGGAACTGTGCCGTTCCCTCCACCCAACTCTGCATACCAGAGGAGACGGCATCGATGCTATTCTGCTACAGAATCTCTTATTAATCTAGGATGAAGCGAGAGGCGAGTTGCACACCCCAGAGAGCATTATTATTTTTACCATTCATGCTTTGAACTCATAGAAGCAAATTGAACAGTTGACATGAACCAAAGGGTTATTATAAGATTATAGCCAACAGAGTGCTCCTGGGGTCTGACCTCCTCTAAAGATATCCCCTTCTCTAGAACGTTCTGCTTTCATTAGACAGAAGTCAGACCTTTTGCTTGTGGAGACAGAACAAAAAAAAAAAAAAGCATGTAGGTATTTTACCCAATTGCTCATAAGCAGCAGTGCAAGCAAACAACTCTAAAAGCTGGTGGGCTGTCTTGCTGCTTTGTTCGAAACTGAGTAAAATATCCCCTGTACGCAGCTGAGTTTTAGCTCCCCCCAACAAATTCCCCTTAGACCACAAAATTTCTGGCTGCAATATAACTTAGGTTATCACCACAGGATAACTGATGTTAAACATGTCCAGATCATACTGCTGCTAGCATTGGGCGAGGGGCGGGAGGTGAGAAATCCAGTTCAGTTTGCATTGGAAGAGAGATTATCTGCATCAGGCTTTTGCAAAACAACAGCTGTCTTTCAAAATCTGCACATCCCAAAAATGTGTAAATTAGCAGAAAGTGTACATAAAATGCATCTGTGTGACTGCAAAATAACACACAAAACATGCAAAAATGATCTAATAGTTGGTAGAGCGTGGGACTCTTAATCTGGGTTGGGTCTGAGCCCCATTTTAGGCAAAAGATTCCTGCAATGCAGGGAGTTGGACCAGATGACCCTCAAGGTCCCTTCCAACTCTACAATTCTATGATGGGGGAAATCACTTGCAAAAATGGGTATATTAGCAGAAATGCACACAACTAAAATGTTGATGCATTTTCATGAGTTTAAAAAAAAGATTCACAAACTGATGCAAAAATCTAGTAAACTGAATTTAAGATGAGAAAAATTAGTAGCAGAGAGAAACTGAAACAGACAGATTTTCTCATCCAAGCAGAAAGGGCTTCAGTGAAATAAGTCTCTTCCTGAAACCTAGGGCCTTCCAATGAGGCTTGCAGATTGCAGAAGACAGGCACAGGGAATTGCCTTTTGCCAGGCCTGCTGTTTCCTCATCTAGTCCAGCACAAAGGAAGCTACCTTACACCAAGCCAGACCACTGATCCATCTAGCTCAGTATAGTCCACACTGACTGGCAGGGCTCTCCGGGGTTTCACAGAAGAGTCTGTCCCAGCCCTGCCTGGAGCTGCTGGGGTTTGAACCTGGGAGCTTCTGCAAGGCAAGGCAGATTCTCTACCACTGAGCCAACGGGGCCCTTCCTCAAATGGAAGAGTACTGCCTACTCAGATTGACAATGGCCCTCCAAAGTCTCAAGCAGAGGGCCTTCCCCATCGCCGGCCACGTGGACTGGAGATGCCTTGGGCTGAACAGGTGAGCATCTGCAAAAGCCACCAGCAGAATTTTCTGCTAAGAACAGGAATGCTTTCAATGACTGCTGGCGTTTGGACCCAGCTTGGGTCCATACACAACAGAAGCAGTGGTCAAGTGGTAAAGTGCAAGGGTCCCTATAGACACACCCCAAGTCAAGTCCAAAAATGCAGGCATTATTATGGGAACGCACAGCAGCACATTAACACAACCACAGATCAACACCACTGCAATCCTATGCTTGGTTTCCTGGGAGTAGCTCCATTGACCTTCCCATTGCATAGGTTCAACTCAGGGGTCAGCAAACCTTTTCAGTAGGGGGCCGGTCCACTGTCCCTCAGACCTTGTGAGGGGCCGGACTGTATTTTGAAGGGGGGAAAAAAAAGAGAATGAATTCCTATGTCCCACAAACAATCCAGAGATGCATTTTAAATAAAAGCACACATTCTACTCATATAAAAACACACTGATTCCTGAACCGTCCGCAGGCTGGATTTAGAAGGCGATTGGGCTGGATCCGGCCCCTGGGCCTTAGTTTGCCTACCCATGGTTCAACTTCTAAAAACACACCGATACCTTCAGCCAACTGAAGTGCAACCTTTAGCTAGCAATCAAGTAAAGAAATGAAATGTTGCTATTCAAAAACTGAAGGCATGAAAAGGAACCCTATCAAAAGAAAAGGAACGAAGTATCCAGCCTCTGGATTATTTTTCCTCATTCCCTGACTTCCGCTATGCTAATCTGTCGCAAGCAAACATGAAAGTCTCGCTACTACCTCATTCACTTGCCAGAGCAAGAGCAAAGTCCATCAGTTACCCCCCCCCGGGGCTCCAGAAGATGATGTCACTGCTTAGGATCTGAAAAAAAGAAGTCTTGGAACTGCAACCTCTTCAGACTACAGGTGGGGGATACTGCTTTGGAATGTTTCCTCATGTTACACTCTCAGCAAGTAGCAAAGCAGAACAGCAGAGCTCTTGCCTGTCCGTCTGCTGAGCTCATTCTCTGTTTGCGGGGAGCTTTTAACATAGGGGAGCACTCAAAAGGGTGTGATGCCTCGCTGCAGTCGATTCCAACACTTCATTCTGCTGCGTGTCTAGACTGGGCACTGAGATGCAAGATCAAATCCCAGCTCAGCTTTGGCTATACTGCACTCTCACAGGGTCCAATTAGACAGTGCTATTAAACAAGGAAACACATTCAGTGTGCTGAGTCTTACCACTGTATTGTTTAAATCAGTGTTTTTAGACCACAATTCCCATCACCCCTGACCATTGGTCCTGCTAGCTGGGAATGATGGGAGCTGTAGTCCAAAAACAACTGGAGACCTAAGTTTGGGAAACACTGGTTTAAATTGTTGTTGTGGGAGGGCCTGATCAGGATTGGGTTTGTGAACATAAGAGAACAAGATCCTTCTAGTCATAAAATCGTATAATTGTAGAGTTGGAAGGGACCCTGAGGATCATCTAGTCCAACCCCATACAATGCAGGAATATGCAACTGTCCCATGCAGGGATTGAACCTGCAACCTTGGCATTATCAGCACCATGCTCTAACCAACTGAGCTATCCCTAAACAGACCAGCATCCTGATCTCACAGTGGCCAAACAGATGCCTTCAGGAAGCCTGAAAGCCGAACCCGAGTCCAATAGCAACCTATCCATTTGTGCCCCCCAGTAACTGTTATTCAGAGGCATATCCCCTCCAATATTGGGAGGTAGTACACAGCCATCATTATTTTCACTTCTTTATTTATTATTCTTATATCCCACCCTGCTTCCAGAAGGAGCCCACGCGGTATAACAATAATCATACAGATAAAATCAGCACAAAACAATAAACACAGAAAGATTAAATCATTAGATGCCACACAGTGGAAAGCAAACAACTGGACACTCAACCTCCCATCTGACTATACACCAAAGGCCCAAATAGATAGGTCTTAAACTGCTGCCCATCGGAAATCAGGGTGGGGCTCAATTGGATCTCCATCAGGAGGCAATTTTGCAATAGGGGCAGCCACAGAGAAGGCCCTGCCACACATTGCTATGCCACAGGCTGTGTTCATTGGTGGAATCACAAGCAGAGCCCCTCCCACAAATATGAAGAGGCAGGACTTGTGAGTATTGGGGGAGGCACTCTTTCAAGCGTGTGGGTTCTGACCGTTCAGGGCTTTGCACACTAATAACAACTCCATAAAATTGACTAGTAGAAATTGACAGCTCTGTCTTCTAAGAATTTGCCTAACCCTCTTTTAAAGCCACCCAGGCTTCTGGCCATTAACTATGTGCTGTGTGAATAAGCACTTTCTCTCATCTGTCCTGAATCTTCAAACATTCAGCTTCATTGAAAGATCCTGGCTTCTAGTATTATGAGAGAGGGTGGAAAACATCTCTCTATCCTTTTTCTTTACCTAATATTCTCCCTTGCTCACTTTCTTCCACTCCGCCCGAAACTAAAAGCTCCTAACACTGTAACCTTTTCTCAAAGGAGTGTTGCTCCAGCCCCTTGATCATTTTTAATTGCCTTTTCTTTAATGTTTTACAGCTCTACAATATTGTATTGCATTCAGGCACGGTAACTAGAACGGCACACAGTATTCCAAATGTGGTCGCACCATAGATTTTTTATGATGACATTATTATATTGGCAGTTTTGCTTTTCAATTCCTTTCCTAATTTATATTCTTAATGGTCACCAAAATGGAATTCACATTTTTCACAGCTGCTGCAGACTGGACAGACATTTTCATTGAGCTATCCACCATAATAATCCCAAGACCTCCTTCTTGGCCAGTCACTGCTAGCAATTTCAGACCCCATAAACATAGACGTGAAGATGCAGCTTTTTGCCCCCAAAGTGCAGAGCTTTGCACTTGCTTGCGTTGAATTGCATGAGCTGTTTTAATGCCCATTCGCCCTGTTTGGAGAGATCTTTTCAGATCTCCTTAAAATGGGAGATAAATAGAATTTCAACAAATATGGTCATTATCAACATCGAAGCAAAACTGACCATACTGATAATGCGTCAGATGATGGAAGAGAGCACTGAACATAGAGTCAAATTGCAAAGAGAGTCAAATAATGAGCGACAACCCATCCACAAATCTCTCACTCGGCTGTATCACTCAACCCATTCATATGGGGCATGAGTTCCGGGTCTGAAACTTGAGTTTTATAAAGGTTAAGAATAGCCCATAGGAAACTGCTTTCATCCATGTCAGAATATTTATTCATCTATCTCAGCCTTGTCTGAGTGGCTCTCCAATGTCTCCAGCAAAGGTCTGTCCCACCATCGGCTCTTAGATCCTTTTTAACCAGACACGCCAGGGAACTACTGAGATATGGCCTTTCCCCATCAAATTTAAGATATTTTCTTTCTTCGTTTCTTTCACAGTCTGCATCTCTGTGGACTTTGATCATCTCACCATCCATCCTTCTGCCCAAGCATGCAATCTCGGCACTCCTCATTATCCTTTGATCCTCAGATACAATCAGTCACCAAGCCAGCCATTTTTACATCTGGAATGTGTCTGCTATCTGTTCTTTTCTGTCTCCAGACTGCTGCTGTTTGCTTTGGTGGCTTCTCTCATTATTTTTCTTCTCTGTGGCTGGATTCTTTTCGCTGGGTTCATCGCTATCGCTCTTATTTTTAAACCTGTATGCCTCTCCAGACAGCCTGCTTTTCGTACATTTGTGATGATTGGTTTATTGCACTTTATAGTTGTGGTTGTTTTGTTTTGTTTTTTTAAAAAAGGAAAGAAAATCAAAGCAACTTAAAATATAATACAAAAATAAGTGAGAATTTGGCTAAATTGAAAACAGAAGAGCCAAGAAATCTAGTCCTGGTGTCAACAGAGCCAGTTCTAGAAAAGGCTTTATTGAGCAACCATTGTGATTTCTTTCTGGAGAGATTAGATGCTGTCTACTGAATATTTGTTCTGATTGGATCGCAGGGAGGTTAGATGACATTGCATAAAGCAATTAGCAACCACAATTCCAGGTGCATTTCACTGTCATTTTCCTTGCTGCAAGAAGTCTGGCTTTTTTTGGGAGAAGCAAGATTAAGGTTCTGTAATCAACTATTATCATACAACCTGAATTTGTTCAGAAGTGACTGGATCACACCTGCAAATAGAGACAGCCTAGAAGCACCTTAGTTCCCCCAGTGGATATGTCTTCCCCAAATATCTATGTACCAAAAAGCAAGTCCTACCGATTTCACTCACAAGAGGAAACAAACAAGCCGAATTAGAAGTGACAAAATTAGAAGTGAGAATTTCTAAGGAGAGCTATGTTTTGAAAAATCCAAATTGGGCTGGTTCACATTAAAACTCAAACAGAACCAAGTTTCTCCTCCATCCCTGCCCATCGTTCAGGCAGTTCCTGATGATTCATGCTGGATTCTTCAATCCTATACGCCTGTATCATTCCCCCCCAAATGTTATGAATGCGTATCTTTATGGTGTGAAGTGTTTTGCAATTCTCTGAATAGTAAGTAGCCTAAACATATTTTAAAGTAAAAACAAGATCTCTTGTGAACCGGCTCCTTTTGTACTGGGCCACTATGATGCTCCAGGGACAGTCATGACTTGAGGAGTGTGCTGGTCACCTTTGCTAAGCAAAGCACCGTCTCTTTCAAAGGCATCCTGAACTCACCTTCTCCATCACGTGGGTACGAATGGCTCTCAGAAACCAAGTCCTCACTACTGTCCATGGGCAGGAATTCCTCAGTGGTGCGTGTCTCTGAGATGGAGGTGGTGAGCAGGTCGTTGGTGGTCACCCGTTCTGAGCGCAGCAGCTCCTCTAGGAGAAGATTACAGAGAAAGGGGTCAGAGAGTTGTCCTGAACATCAGCCGACTCTACTCCTGCCCTCCTGCAATTACATGTGCTGCAACTGTTTCCCCCAAACCTTATTATTATTATTATTTAAAGCCATCCTTATGGGATCCTCTCTGTGCTTGCTTGGCAAATCTAACCCCTCACTCAAAGAGGACATTCAGCATTTTGCAGAATTTCCCTTCTTTAATTTAAAAAAAAAAGCATTTAGACCACCCTTCATCTACAGAGATACCAAGATGGTATACAAAAGCAAATATAAATAAAAATGAAGGCCGTACAATTAAGGAGCACATCAGCATACATAACAACCAAAGACAAAGGTGTTAAACAAGCAAGCAGAACAGGCTGCCTACTAATAAAATTCCTAAAACTTGGGACTTTTTGAAACAGCCCGGGGAAATGAAGGCGTTTTGATTTGACATAGAAATGATTATAACACTGCTGGCAGTTTTTACCCCTCAAGGGAGGGCATTAAGACTATAAAGACAGCTGCCTTAAACTGAGTTGGACCATTAGGCCACCTAATTCAATATTGTCTCTGCTAACTGGAAGCAGCTCCCGAGGGTTTCGGACTGAGGACATTGCCTGCTCTACCCGGAGACATAAGGCCCGACCCTGGGACCTTCCACACACAATGCAGATCTTCTTCTACTGGGCTTTGGCCCTTCTCCAAAATAGGCACATGGGAAATTGCCTTTTACTGAGTCCATTGAGTTCAGTATCGCCTACTGATTGTCACGGAGCGTGCTGAGGAGGGCTGCACTGAGGAGGAATGGTGGGAGCCTTCCCCCTCCCCCTGCTCCTAAGTCAGGACCCTGAATCTTTCCAGGAGCAGTGGGACAGTATAGATTTGGAACAGTGGTTTGCAGAGGGACATAGTTCAGAAGATAGAAGTTGGGAAGAACTGGGTGGTGAACAGCTAGGAGAAGAAGAACTGGGAGAGAGTTAGTGAACAGACTCTCTCTTGCTGGAAAGCGTCCATCCGCTCAGCCCAAGGTCAAGGAGAGCAGAGAAGGTGGCAGCACAGAAAGCACACCTCCACAGATATGGTGCCCTCAGAAGGAAGGGTCTGAACTTCACAGGACAGCTGGCTGTGCATAAGGTCCTCATCTAAAGATCTTATGATATGGGCAGCTGGGATAAGGAGAGGAGGAGCTCCACAACACCCCCCTGAAGGCAATCACTGGGAAACCCTCTCCTACCAGATCAGGCCTTTGGGTCCATCTTATCTAGACCTACCAATGTCTCCTCGAAGCTCTTGGGCAAGCTGAGGGTTCTTGTAGAGCAGCGCCAGACTCTGGTTCATCCGTTCTTCAATGACATGCAGGTGGGTGTAGACCTGGGGACGACAGCAGCCTAGGTTTATTATTGCTCCCCTCCTCCAAGAAGGTGTGAATGCAGGGACCCAGACAGGGGCACCTGGGGGGCGGGTGGGCAGGAGGAGAAAGAAGAAGAAGAAGAAGAGGAAGGATGGAAACCAGACCTGGAACTTCATTTGCTCAGCCTTCTCCGGATCAGCAGCTGCCACGTGCTGGTAATGTCGGAGGGTGTGGCGCTGGTCCTTCTGCTCTGCCCGCACGTATCTCTTCAGGGCTAACAGGACGCGGTCCGGCTGGGTCAAAGGGAGGGGACAAAAGAAAAAACAACAACAAGTTAGGCAGGTGCAAGTGTAGCTCAACAGTAGAACATCTGCCTTGCATGCAGAAGGTCAAAAGTTCTTTTCTTTGGAAGTTTTTATTGTTAAAATAATTCAGCATTAATACACACATATTGCGAATATACAAGCCTACAAACATACATTTCATACAATCCTTAAAAATGTTCAAACGTACCTAAACTCAATCCCACAAATAATTCCTTTTCCCATCGCCATCCACCACCCCTCACCCCACCTTTCGGTTAGACTTCCAATCTACTCAATTGCAATTTCTTCCCACTTGTATTACTTTCTTTCACACACCTTTAACCTAATTTCATGCTTCTTTTTCTATTACACATTGTTATCCATCTTATTTAGTATTTCAGTATTTAAAACGGAACTTGTTTATTCTAATAGGAGTTCTGATTTTTCAATATGGTTTTGCAAGTATCCTTTAAACACCTTCCAATCCCTGTCTATCTTCTCTTTGAGATCCTTCCAATTTCTCCCATTGTTTTGGATATATTGTAGTACTCCAATAATTTGGCAAGCCACTCTCTTTTTGTCGGTATAATACCACTTTTCCAATTTTTCGCAATCAATAGCCTTGCGGCTACTGTTGCATACAAATATAATGTCTTGTCTTCTTCCTTTAGACTTCCTGGTACTATTCCCAATAGAAAACCACAGAAGGTCCCAAGTTCAATCCCCAGCATCTCCATGTAGGGCTGGGAAAAAACCTCTCTGCCTGAAACCTTATAAAGCCACTGCCAGCCAGTGTGGGCATTATTGAGGTAGACCATGGGTAGGCAAACTAAGGCCCGGGAGCTGGAGCCGGCCCAATTGCCTTCTGGATCCAGCCTGTGGATGGTCCAGGAATTGGCGCATGGATCGGCATGGAGATTCTGATCATTTAGGCTGCGCCATTTCCCCCCCTCCCTCACACACACTGTGGGGCACCTCCTCCCTCCCTCCTCCTGGCTTTTCCCTGCCCTGCCTAGAGGAGGAAGGGGGCCAGGCTTTGTTGAGCTGCAGTTGGCTGAGCGCCATTTTAAACAGCCCCTCTCTGCAGCCAGCCCTTTCGCGCCGCTCATCGTCTCACCGCCGCCACCAGCCCCTGCCACTCGCAAGCACAGTAGCAGGCACTGGGGCTCATCTGGTGCTGTGGAGAAGGGAGGGGAGAGTTGGGGGGATTCCCCCCCAATATAGTCCGGCCCCCCACAAGGTCTGAGGGACAGTGGACCGGCCCCCTGCGGAAAAAGTTTGCTGACCCCAGAGATAGACCTACCAATGGCCTGAGCTCACAGAAACACATTAGTGAGTGGAGGGGACATAGCTCAGTGGTAGAGCATCTGCTTTGCATGCAGAAGGTTGCGTGTTCAATTCCCAGCATCTTCAAGCTGGGAATGTCTCCAGCTTAAAATCTTGGAGAGCCACTGGTTTGACTCAGTATATGGCCACTTCCTACATTTCTATGATCACTGGCTAACCCTCTCTCTCTTTTTTTGTATAATTTTTATTAAATTTTCTGTTTTACATTTTAGAATATTCATTTAAACAACCTTAAAATATCAATGACTTCCCTTCTTCTCTTTCCATGGTTCATTTTGCAGAACATAAATCCCTGCCTATTTTATACAAACTAACCCATTCAGTATTCCATTATTACATCCATCGAAACTTTACATTGTTGAATTTATCTTAATGCTGCTCATGTTTTCAAATATACACAATTACCCCCCCATATATTCAATAAACATTTTCCCATCTTCTCTAAACGTATGTTCATCTTGTTCTCTTATTCTACAGAAGCTCAACATCAAAAAAATGAAGATAATGGCCACTGGTCCCATCACCTCCTGGCAAATAGAAGGGGAAGAAATGGAGGCAGTGAGAGATTTTACTTTCTTGGGCTCACTGCGGATGGTGACAGCAGTCACGAAATTAAAAGACACCTGCTTCTTAGGAGAAAAGCGATGACAAACCCAGACAGCATCTTAAAAAGCAGAGACATCACCTTGCCAATAAAGGTCCGTATAGTTAAAGCTATGGTTTTCCCAGTAGTGATGAATGGAAGTGAGAGCTGGACCATAAAGAAGGCTGATCACCGAAGAATTGATGCTTTTGAATTCTGGTGCTGGAGGAGACTCTTGAGAGTCCCATGGACTGCAAGAAGATCAAACCTATCTATTCTGAAGGAAATCAGCCCTGAGTGCTCACTGGAAGGACAGAAGCTGAGGCTCCAATACTTTGGCCACCTCATGAGAAGACTCCTTGGAAAAGACCCTGGGAAAGATTGAGGGCACAAGGAGAAGGGGATGACAGAGGATGAGATGGTTGGACAGTGTTCTCGAAGCTACCAGCACGAGTTTGACCAAACTGTGGGAGGCAGTGGAAGACAGGAGTGCCTGGCGAGCTCTGGTCCATGGGGTCATGAAGAGTCGGACACAACTAAACGACTAAACAGCAACAAGTCCGCAAGCTGTGCATATTCCATCAGCCACAATTGCTATGTTTGGTCTCCACTGTCAGAGGCAGAATGCTCTGCTCATGTACAGGCTTCCCATAGGTACATGGGAACAGGATGTGAGACTAGATGAGCTATTGGCCAGATTCAGCTGGCTCGCCTTCTGATGTTAGATGTGCCCACTTCCAAGCATGCTATCAACAACATCTTTAATGTAACCAGCCAGGATAGCTGAGTCGGCAGAGCAGGAGACTCTTAAACCCGTGGTCGTGGGTTCGAGCCCTGCGTTGGGCAAAAGATATTCTGCATTGCAGGGGGATCTATTAATGTTTAATAGGTTATTGTATTTTAATGTTCTGTTGGAAGCCACCCAAAGTGGCTGGGGAAACCCAGCCAGATGGGCGGGGTAAAAGTAAAGGTAAAGGGACCCCTGACCATTAGGTCTAGTTGCGGAGTTGGTTTAGGTCTAGTTGGGGTTGCGGAGCTCATCTTGCATTACTGACCGAGGGAGCCGGCGTTTGTCTGCAGACAGCTTCTGGGTCATGTGGCCAGCATGAGTAAGCAGCTTCTAGCGAACCAGAGCAGCGCACAGAAACACCGTTTACCTTCCCGCCGGAGCGGTACCTATTTATCTACTTGCACTTTGTGCTTTCGAACTGCTAGGTAGGCAGGAGCAGGGACCGAGCAACGGCAGCTCACCCCATCGCGGGGATTCGAACCGCCAACCTTCTGATCGGCAAGCCCTAGGCTCTGTGGTTTAACCCACAGCACCACGGGTTAAATTATGATGATGATGATGATGATGATGAACCAGATGACCCTTGTGGTCCCTTCCAACCCGACAGTTCTGTGACAGCTTCTGTGCAACTTTTCTGCATCCTGCTTCCCCTTCCTGCTCGTATCTGGTCCATTTCCAAGCACCCAAAGGAGGTGCACAATACCCAGCCCTTCGCTTTGCATGGTTTTGATCTGTATTGCTTGGAACACATCACCTCGCATTGTTTATATTACAAGACACAGGATGACAGGGATGAGTATCTTTCTCTTCTCGGCACCTGCATGCTCCGGAGGTTATTCCAGGCTAACCGTTCTAACCCCCCTCACCCGCTCCCTCAAAATGTGCAGGCAGGGTTTGCTTGTCTGTTATCCTCCCAGATCAACCTTCATTTCCATCTCTTTCCCCGCGCAGCAAATGCAATAAACAAACAGTTGCTTTATTGTGCATTCATGACACTCGACAACGTGCTTGCTACTGTTCTCCATTCACAACTAGAGGCCTGTTGCGGAGGCCACGGGAGCGACACAGTCCTCTGACCAGAGGGCTTGGCGCTCTGGACAATTATTGCCATTATCATTATTATTAATTGGATTTATATCCTAACTTCCTTCCCAAGGAGTCCAGGACAGGGAATATAACAGTGCCATCTAGCGCAGCATATTCTGGTTCAGTACATCCTGCCAGCCTCCGTCCGTTCTCAGCCTGCCCTCCATGCTGTTCCAAAGTTTGTTGTGAGTTCTAATCCTGCCCCAGCGCTCTTGCTCTGCTGCTCAGCACATCAGGTGAATAAAATCTGAACAGAAAATTGTTTCCTTACTCTAATCTTTAATGTCTTTGCAAATGTGCCCTGGAATAGGCAGGAAAAGGCCCCTGATCCTCTTTTCTGGAACAAAGGGATACCAGCCATGCCAAGGAGTGGGTAAGCTGCCTCTACGCTGCCTCCCCAAAACTGCAGGTTAGCAGAGATTTTTTTTCTCTTGGGGGCTGCTGAGGAAGACACCCCTGGACTCCCAGGCTGCCACTACGTTTGCCTTCAGCTAAGCTGGCCCTGAAACAGCTTGATGAATAACAGGGAAGAGGCTGTACCAGGCATAAGAAGCAGCAGAAAGCACAGAGGAGACAAAGGAGATAAACAGGAAAGGAGCTTGCAAGGAAAGACAGCAGAAAGATAAAGGGAGTGGAGAGGGGAGATCTCTTGTACCTTCCTCCCTTTTGCTTATTTTTTGATTACAGGAAGTCCAAAAGTCATGTAGCAAACAGCCATAACTTTTAGCTCACTGGAATTCTGGTTTCAGAAATTTAACTTTGCATTGCCCATACGGGTTTCAAAAACTCATATTCTCAGCCTTTGCTGGGTAGGGAAAAAAATGCTTTCTTGCTTAAAATGTTTATCAGAGATTCTCAGGAGTTCTACCAGAAACTGACCCGAACCCACATCTTTCATTCCATTTTTTGCTCAGCCCTTGCTCCAAGGAGCTCAGGGCAGCAAACATGGCCCCCTTTCCCCATGTTATTCTCACAACAACACTGTGAGGTAGAGCTTAGGCTGAGACACAATGAATAAAGGCTCAAAGCCATCCAGTGAGATTCATGGCTGCGTGGAGAGTTGAACTGGATGTCCTGGGCTAAACAGAGAAATTCTAGGCATGTTGGCTTGATGTTAAGTCCCAAAGCGTTCAATAGATCTTACTCTCTTTTAAAATATGTCTAAGATTGCTGCCTAATACTTTAGCCGCTTTGCTGCTCTGTGTATGTGCAGGATTCTTCCCCAGTACCAGATTCCACACTGGAGTTCACAGAGTCCAAGCACACAGAGAACTTGAATTATAAAGCCTGATTCTTACAGGTGATGGGGGTAAGGCATTTACCCATGTAAGCATGTCATGTGCAGTCAGTTACATTTAAATGCACACATACATGGAGTGGAACATCCATGTACAATGTGAAGCATTCATGTGCATCTACATGAGATTGGGCACGTGCTGGACAAATGTGTCCTGTATATTAACATGCCCAGATTTGTAGTCAGTGCAGAGTGCAAGGGAGTCTGGGTAATAAGGTCTCCAAGGAAAAACAAAAAGATATTTAACAGAGGGGGTGATAACAATGGGGGGAGAAGTAAGAGTTTGAACTAGAAAAGGACAAGTTAATGCATTTTTTTTTAAAAAAAACACCTCATACTTTCACCTACAAAAGGGAGGTGCTTAAAGTGGCTTACAAATGAAAGGAACAATTATCTGATTGTTAAAAATTAATTTAACGGTGAAAGATTCACAGGCTATGAAGGACTTGCTCACAAATTCATAGACAGCTGCACGAATTATTATAGCCAGGAAGTGGAAGGGGCAAGCAGAATATAAAATGGAAGAATGGTAATAAAGAGGTGTGGGTTATAGCTATTCATGATAAATTAAAATGTGCCATTAAGGTAAGACGGGGAATACACAGGAGAAATGATTTTGAGGAGATACGGAGGGTGTTTGTAGACTTTGTACTGTTAAAATGGAAAGGGGTCAAACCATCGCAAGAGGTGTTGACATTCTGGGAGGTTGGCTAGTTACAGTGGAATGGTCTAGGTGGGTGGGGTGCACATTTTTATTCTTATTTATTTATGATTATGACTTTGTCAAAAAATATTTTTTTTATAAAAAAGAATGTATAAAATGTAAATAAATGTATAAAATATAAATAAAAGAATGAAAAAAAAAACAAACAACAACTAATTTAACAAAACCAAAAAGAAGCAAAAAGCCCAAAGAGTGGTGCCATTCAAGGGAGGCAATGGCATCCAACCAGGTAAAGGTACAGGTAAAGGTAAAAGGTACAGAACAGCATCCCTGAGTAGGTCCCCACCCAACTCATCCCCTCCTCCTCTACATGCTTTTCCTTACCTGGGGATTATCAGTCTGCACAGCGGTCAGGTAGCTCTCTAGTGCTGCCCTTCGATTATCGTTGAGCAGGGCCACCACACGGGCCAAATGAGTCTCGACCAGCCGCTGTCGCTCTCGAGACACCTGCTCCTCCAGCGTCTGAAGGATGGACTGGAAGTGCTGGGTCAGCCAAGAGAAAAGGCGAGATGGTCATGAAGTTAAATGTATCTGCTGGGGCCAAAGGGTGATGGTCTGGGAGCATCTGGTGCTGCATAGCATGGCTGAAGTTAAGCAGATGTGCAAGCCCTCCCACGCTGCCCCCTTCAACACCTGATGTTGAGTTTTGGGAGGGTGGGAGGAGCAAGCCACCTGTCAATCATGTGAAATAACAATTGCGTGATGTGATTGACATGTGGGTAGCTATGCCCACCTGTCAAAATTGGCCCATGGGGTGGGGGCAGAAGCAAAAAAGATTCCCCATGGGTTAGTGTGGGTTTTTTGGAGAGGTTGTAGGAGGGGTTAGACTGATGGAGGCCCCAGCAAATACATCTACACAGACAAAACATGAAGTGAATTCATATGCTTTCTTCCACAAAATAGCAGTCTGGGAACGGGGGAGATAAATGATGCCATTTCAAAATTAAAAAAAATATAGACATTCCAAAATCAGCATTCAAAAATGTAAAAATTACAAAAGGAGCAAAAAGTAGCAACGAAAGAAACTTAAAAATGTGTTATTTTAAACGAGTTTTAATTTATTTTGGGAATTTGTATCCTACCCTTCCAACAAATTCCCAGCGCAGCTGGCATTTTTAATACTGGCATGAAAAATACCCCCCAAGCATTTAAAAGCATAGAAACAATCTGTCCAAGATGTAAAACAATTTCCAGACCAGCATCATCATTAAAGAAAAACACCTAGGAAAAAGTAAGCTGGGATAGGTTTGTTTTTTTTTAAAGCCATTTAAAAAGTCTCAATCAAAAGCTCCATTCACACTTTGGTAGGTAAAGGGTTCCATAGCTGTGGGGCCATCACTGAAAAGGTCCTTTGGTATGCCCACTAATGTGATTTGATTTTACTGGCAAAGTGTCTCCAGAGCTGATCTCAATACAATCCTTCTCCAGTCCTCACCTCATTGAGTGCCTGACGATCAGTCTTGGGCAGGTTTTTTGCTTGGTTGTCTGCCTCGGCCCACTCCTTCATCACCTGTCGAATTGAAACAAAGCAATGAGGTGCGGACGATGCTCCCACAAAAAGGCCCACATCTCTTCCTGGCACAAACCCTGACCCCGTGATGCAGTTCCTATTGTGTCCTCTCACCCTCCATCTCCAGTATCGCTTGTCAGGCTTGGAGGCATGAATTTTATATATTGGATATTGCTGTTTCGTATAGAGCAGGCACGTCCAACTTCCAAGAGGTTTTTTTTGGGGGGGGCACTCAGGGTCCTGCAATCGACCGGGATCGACCAGGGACACCCTGCGATCAACTGGTTGGACATCCCTGGTATAGAGTAAATTCAACATTTAGAGATGGAATTATGGGCAGGTGTCCCAGGTGACCATTTGGAGCCCCTGCCACAGACTCTCTCCTATTCACTCAGCAGCCAAAACAAAACAATCAGCTCATCTTCACTTGTAAAGCTGGCCTACATGACAGGCATTGTGTTAACACTTGGTTTGTCTTATTCATGGGGAAAATTTACAACATCAAAGCCTATTCAGCAAGATGTGCCTCTGAGCGATTGTGATCAAATCCGCACATGCAAATTTATCATCTTATGCGACGAGGACAAATTGTGCCTTCTAAGTTGTGAAACAGGCTACCGATGCATTGAAGACGTTCACAATTTAAGCAAAGGGAACTGTGTTTCATCAAGGACACCCCTCGCTTGGGGTGACAGTTGCTCTAGGGCTGCACCCCCCCATCACCTCGTTGATCTGCCTCATGCGCCGTTCCTCCAAGTCCATCTTGGCACGCAGGAAGTTGGCGTGTTCGTTCCCATCTCCGGGCATTTCGAAATAAACGTCCACTCCGTCGGTGGGGCGAGGGGTGGGGGCCACTGAAAACACAGGGAGTGCGTTACACAAGGCGACATGCCTCGGCCCTTCCCACCCACACAAAACATTCCCCGCAGGACAGGGGGCTCTCCACTCAGGCGAGGCATCAATACACACCCTTCTCCAACCTTCTAGGTGCCATTGAACTCCAGTTCCCATCAGCCCCAGCGTGATGGGAGTCATAGTCCAAAAACCTCTGGAGGACGCCATCTTGGCAAAGGCTGTAATATAGCCTCACATGGGATAACGGGCTCACTCCCCCCTTATTTTTCAGTTGCTGTTTCATTAATAGTGTTTCACAGATTGTAACTGTTTTATACATTATTTGTTGATTATTTTATTTGACTTATGCTGTACAGACAACTCCCAATTTATGAAGGGGTTACGTTCCAAGGCACTGTGCATTTAAGTGAAATCGCATATATTTCAAACAACGTTGAAAAAGCCTGCAAACACCTCATTCCGCCCCTGCCCCATTCTGCCCTTTTTTGTGACTTTTTTGGCCACTTCCAGGTTCAGCATGATGTGCGCATGCGCGGTTGCGCGTGTATTGGTCGTGCCTAAAATGGTCGCTGCCTGTTTTTGTGATGTTCTACCATGTTACTGTTTCTTACTGCTTGTAAGCTGCTTTGAGATCCATTTGAATGAAAAGCTAAACAATACGTTAAATTGAATCCAACCCCACCTCTTACAAAAACTGTACAGGGCAAAAAAACGCTGAATTCTCAGCTCCCCTTGGCTCCCCACAGACTGAGGCGGGAGTGCCCCCTTGTGCCCCACCCCCAAGCTGTGTCGGCTGAGGGATGCACTGGCTCACTGCGTCTGCCGCTTTGTGTCAGGAAGAGCCAGGTTCTGAGCTGCCTCTAGAACAGTCGCCCCATTGTGAGGAGGACGAGGAGGAGACGTGACCAGGAGAAGCAGCTGAGCATTTCCGTCTTGTCTCACCACCCCTTGTAGCTGCTTGCTGGCTCCATGCGCCCCTCCTTTCATGTGCTAACATCTGCAGCAGGGATTCCATGAACTTCAGAAGTGCCCCGAATGGAAACACTGACTTCACTCGCTCTCAGAAAAACAAAGTTCAGGTTCCATTTCTTGAGATAAGCATCTTCAGTAGGCCTCTCTCATCCTTGCTTTTTAGAAGACAGATCAACAGGGCCTCCCAGAAAGGTGAGGGAAAGGATGGAGGAGGATGGAGCTCCTTCACCTCCCACCCTACTACTTCTAGAGAGGTGAACAGGCAAGTGAGGAAGAGCAGTTAGGGAACCTGTAGCCCTTCGGATGCTGTTGGACTACAACTCCCATCAACCCCGTCTATTGGCCACACTCACAGGGGCTGATGGGAGTTGGAGCCCAACAACATCTGGTGGTCCACAGCTTCACCATCCCGGCTCCAGTCGCTAGCCCTGCCCTGTCCTCCAGAGCTTACCTTTGATATCCTCTTCGGTGGTCTGCGTGGTGGTCGTGATGGTAGTCTGGGTGATGCTGTCGTCATAGTAACCCGGCTCCACAAAATAGTCATCCCAGGCAGCAGGGAAAGGGTCGGGGTCAGGGGCACTATCTCCAGGGCTCTCCTCCTCGTCGTCCTCGTCCTCCTCCACCTCTTCATCTTCATCCAGGTCCCCTTCCTCCTCCATTTCCAGGCTCTCTTCCTCTGTTGGGATGCGTCCTGTCGGAACCTTGTTGCTAAAGAAAGAACCATCCGGTCAGGAGACTGCACAATAGATACTTAAAGGAAAGAGTGTGCATTTTGGGGGGGTCTTTCTGGCAAGGGGGAAACTGTGTGGGGAACACCTTTCAGAACATCTGAAGCAGTGTGAATGCCACCTGGGTGGAAGCAAATAGGGCCTTGAATTTTGCACAATTAAAATAAATTCTGATTTTGTGGGGGGTGGGGAATATATGGCAATTTGCCAACATGGATCCTCTTAAGCTCCAAAGTGTCCCATACTGTATGCCAACAACATTAAGGGGCGAGTGGCAAGTGGAACTTGGGGTCGTTTGCTCACCTGTGCAGGGCCTCCTCTCTCAGATGGGCAAGGATCTGGGGTGCCTCAGTGGCTTGTTCCAGCCTGAGAGCTGTGGGGCGTGCAGGGCAGCACACATATTCGACCCCACGGAAGCGGTCTGCCCCACAGGGCAACAGCATGCCATAGCTGTGAAGCTCCAACTCCTCACCGCTGCAGGCCTGGGAATGGGAGATGAACAATGTCAGAATGCTGCTAAGCCACTCATTGGCTCAGTTCAGACATCACGCCAAAGCATGATTTGTGCTAGCCATTGTGCTTTGAACCTGTGCTATGGTTTGAGCTTCAAGATGTACAGCAAGCAAGCCATGGTTCGCAGCCACTTGTCTCCATTCATTTTCCATCTGCTCAACACACACCTTCACCCCTCTCACCATGGGGCGGCAGCCTCTTTTAAGGCAGAACAATGACCCTAACTGTGGTTTGTGACTTCAGATGCCGCAGCAAACCGTGGTTAGTACAAACCATGGTTTGCAAACCACCCCCCAGTTTGTTGTTTGGATATTCTTATTTGGCAGGTTTCACAGAACATGGTTTGTAAATTGGCATAAATAGACAGACATAGTACCAACCCATGGTTTGGCATTATGTTTGAATGCAACCAATTCTCACTGTGAGGTTGGGGAACTTTACATTTAAAAGAAAATTAAAACTCTGCACCAAAGTATCTCAAAACTCTGTTACGAGGAATACCAAACAAATCATGCAACTTGTAGACCTTTTGCAAATTAAACACATCTACATGATTTCTCCTGCTGTGCATGATATATTCTACACTTTAAAACTGGTTTTCCTAATTTATCCCACTTTCTGCTACTCCAGAGTGGGGCAGGGCAAAGAAGAAATAACACAGGGACCTGAAACCTCATCTCTCAGCTAGAAACCTTATCCCGCAGCCATTCTTGTTTCTGAGATTTTGGCAGACACTGATTGCACCGTGCCAACATTATTTTCATACTCATTAGGTCTAAAAACTTTTTTTTTATAAAGGAAACCTATGTTTTTTGGAAGCCCTCCTATCTTATTTTACTCCTCAGATTAAGAACATAACCCATAAAGACCTCGTCCTCCATTTATTAACTGCAGTGAGATTAGTGACTGCAAAAAAAGGGGAAAACTTTAAAAGCCTGGATTTCACAAGTATTGGACATTGTGCATATGGACAAATTAACTAATTCACAAAAGGAATAACCGCCTTGGGGTGGGGAGAAAGACTCACACCTTCTAAACGACATGGTATCCTTTTATTGACTTGGTTAAGAGAACCAGACAGGGTTTTCACCCTCCATCGATTTATGGAACCTTATGGCTACTTTCATTTGGCTGCCTTTCTTGGAACACATAAAACTACAACCATCAGCTCCTATTTTTTCTTTCTTTTCTGTATGCCTTCTAAGCTCTGTATTCCTTGTATGGATATGTTTTGTAACTTGAAATTAAAAAGCAGCAAAACCCCCACACTATTTTAAAAAAGGAAGCTAAATTCCATAGCTCTTTTCTGTGCTATTGAGAAATTGCCACACACACACACACACACACTTATACCATACCAGGAGTGGGCAGCCTTTTTGCGCCCAAGGACCACATGGTAGTGGGTAGGATCAAGACCTGGCCAGGACTACTATCTCCCTATCTATCCCTACTATCACAAATGCACCCAGTTCACACAATCTCTCCCCTTTATCACTTATCTGACACACAGACTCACAATCCCAGACACCAACATTCCCTCCGTGTTTCCCTCCACTCACACACAACACAACGGCTGCCAAGTTCTGCAGGAACTTCCATGTTTCCTCTGCTCCTCAGCCCAAAAAGAAAGACAGTGGTAAAAATGACTTGCTTGACATGATGTACAGTATTATTATTATATTATTATTTATTTATTTTACTTCTATACCGCCCTATACCCGAAGGTCTCAGGGTGGTTCACATGAAAAATCACTTACATAAAATCAAAACAAAAACCAGATTAAACCCCCTCCTGAAAAGAGCCAGCATTTTAAAAAGGGTATAGGATGTCAGGTCAGGCAAAGGCCTAGTTGAAGAGGAATGTTTTTGCCTGGCGCCTAAAGGTGTATAGTGAAGGCACCAGGCGGACTTCCCTGGGGAGAGCATTCCACAGACAGGGAGCCACTGCAGAGAAGGCCTGTTCTTGTGTTGCCACCCTCCAGACCTCCCGAAGAGGAGGCACACGAAGAAGGGCCTCAGAAGATGATCTCAGGGTCCAATAGGTTCATATGGGAAGAGGCAGTCCTTAAGGTATTGCGGTCCTGAGCCATTTAAGGCTTTATAGGTCAAAACCAGCACTTTGAATTGGGCCCAGAAATTAATCGTAGGTTGCATTATATCACGGTCATCCTCCAGGGACATTTAATAGGAAACTTGGGAGGTTAAAAGTTATCATTGCTAGCATCCTACTTTGGGAGGAAGCGGCGAGGGTTATCAAAAACCAGCCTGTAACTGTGGCACAGTCTCTCAACATCCCTTAAAGCACTGTTTCCCAAACTGGGGCCTCCAGCTGTTTTTGGACTACAACTCCCATCATCCCAAGCTAGCAGGACCAGTGGTCAGGGATGATGGGAACTGTAGTCCAGAAACAACAACAACAACCAGAGACCCAAGTTTGGGAAAACACTGTTTTAAAGAGTCTTGGCAGCCTCTTCACTTTCAGCAGAGCTTGCCTTAAAGCAGGGGTAGGGACTTGTTTTCAAGTCCCTGGAGAAAGGGAAAGAGGGCAGGCGGAGGATATGCGAAAATGGGCAGAGCGTCGGAAGGGGGAGTTTTCTACAAGCCACCAACTGAGACCTTGGGCAAGAGTGATCTGCCCTTCCCAAGGCAGCCCACTCAGCGGTGGGGAAAAGAGAGAGAGGAAAGGGGAGGCTGGCAGATCGCTCCTGAGGGAATGCAATCCTCAACTGGAAAAACGAAGGTTTCCCACCCTCACTTTAAAGTATCTGCTACTTTCCATTCGCTAAGTTGCTCCCAGCTGCTCACCTCTTTGGCCACGCTGTGCCAGTATAAGTAGGTCTCGCACGAATCCATTTTTTCTTGGTGCAGGAATTTGCACTTGTCGGGCACGAGGAGAGCTTCGCTCACAAATTCACCCACTAGAGAAGGGACAGAAGGAGGCAGCGTTACAATTTATGACATTTTTTTTTAATCCCACCCATCCTTGAAAGAGTTCAAGGCAGCGTGCATGGCCCATTTTATCCTCACCACAACCCTGCGAGGTAGAAAGGTAGGAGAGAGTGAAAGATTCAAGGTCGTGAAGCTTACTGTGTTGGTTAAGTGGGGATTTAAACCCGAGTCTTCCCAAGAATAGGGACGCAGGTGGTGCTGTGGGTTAAACCACAGAGCCTAGGACTTGCCGATCAGAAGGTCGGCGGTTCGAATCCCCGCGACGGGGTGAGCTCCTGTTGCTCGGTCCCAGCTCTTGCCAACCTAGCAGTTTGAAAGCACGTCAAAGTGCAAGTAGATAAATAGGTACCGCTCCAGCGGGAAGGTAAATGGCGTTTCTGTGCGCTGTACTGGTTCGCCAGAAGTGGCTTAGTCATGCTGGCCACATGACCCAGAAGCTGTACGCCAGCTCCCTCGGCCAATAAAGCGAGATGAACGCCGCAACCCCAGAGTCGGTCATGACTGGACCTAATGGTTGGGAGTCCCTTTACCTTCCCAAGAATGATAGAGTTGTAGAGTTGGAGGGTCATCTAGTCCAAATCCCTGCAATGCAGGAATAAGCAGCTGTCACTTATGGGGATCGAACCTGCAACCTTGCTAACCCAAGCTTCCCCAACCTGGTGCCCCCAGATGTTTTGGACTACTACTCTCATCCGCCCCAGCCAGCAATGGTAAGAGATGATGGGTGCTGCAAGTCCAACAACATCTGGGGATCCAAGGTTGGGAAAGGCTGGTGTTGGTAGAGCATGGGACTCTTAATCTCAGGTCCGTGGGTTCAAGCCCCACGTTGGGTAAAAGATCCCTGCATTGCAGGGGGTTGGACTGGATGACCCTCGTGGTCCCTTGCAACTCTATGATGGACAAATAGTCTGAATCTTCTATAAGCCAGCTTCCTAGATAGCAAGCTTCTCATGCAGTCATGCAGCTTACAGCTGGTCCATACAAAGTACTCATCAGCTCCAGCTAGCATGGCTAATGCTAAATGGAGGGCACCAGGTTGGGGAACGTTGCCCTTAGCACTGCAACACACTGGTGCTTGCTCCTTCTATTTCCCAGTACATTTCTGAGCACAACTCAAAGTGCAAGTGCTGGCCTTTAGGGCTTTGTATGTACTGGGAAATAGGCCCTGTTTACCTGAAGGAGCATCTCCAACCCCATTGCTTAGCCTGGACCTTGAGGTTCAGCTCTGAGGGCCTTCTGGCAGTTTCCTCACTGCAAGAAGTGAGGTTACAGGGAACCAGGTAGAGGGTCTTCTCGGTGGTGGTGCCCACCCAGTGGAATGCCCTCCCATCGAAAGTCAAGGAGATAAATAACTAGACAACCTCTAGAAGACACCAGAAGGCAGCCCTGTATAGGGATGTTTGATGTTTTGTTTTGTTTTTGAATATGCTGGAAGCCGGCCAGAGTGTCTGGGGCAACCCAGTTACATGGGTGGGGTAGAAAATATAACAACAACAACAACAATAACAACAATAGCAGCTCAGTAGGAAAGCACTTGCTTTACAAGCAGAGAGACAATGATCTGCAGGGTCTAGACTAGGAATGGGGAACCTCTGGTGTTCTCCATGCTGATCAGCTTCCATCAGCCCCTGTCAGTTTAGCCAGGGATGATGAGAAGCGAGGTCCAACCACACCTGGAAAGCCACAGCTTCTCCAGCCCTGGTCTGCACAAAATACAGCAAGCGCAGCTCTCATGCCAACTCCCTGCGGCTGTTCCTCATCTGGCACTTACCCAGACACTGATAGGGCACCACGATATGCTGGTGGCCTTTGCATTTGGGCCTCCCCTTCTTGCACCAGTTGTCGATCGTGACAGGCTGGGTGCCCTCCACGGCATTGGTGATCTGCAACTCGGGGTACACCTGCGGGTGGTGCATAGAAGAGGCACACAGATCACAGCAGGGAAGGGGAGACAGGGAGAGGGGACACAAGAGCTTTTGATCCTTATGATGCATCAAAGAACAATGGCACATGCATACACTTCCTCCTCCTCCCTCTGAAGGAGCGTCTTAAAGTGGCATACCTGGAGTTCCTAAGTACAGCGGTGGCCCTACTATGAGGCCGAGGGAGGCAGCTGCCTCAAGCGATAGGTGCTGAGGGGCAGAGAGCAACAGTGAGGTGTTGGGAGAGCCATCTGTGCATGACAGGTGGCCTGTTCTGAACCCCGTAAGCTAGCCTGACGCCTTCAGGTGGGGTAGAGGATGCTGCCCTGCCATGTGGGACGCCAGCTTCACCTGCAAGTCTTCTCTGGCATGTTTTTGTACAATGAAGGGGAGAGGGTGTCAACTTGTCCTTTGCCCCAGGCAGCCTTGACTGAGCTGAGCTCCTTCAGATCGTACTCTGGGCTCAGATTCCATGTTCAAGGCACAGAGGAGGGTGGGTGGGTTGCAAGCACAAACAAGAAAAACCCCATTTCTCAAACAAGAGCAGGGTGAACCTGAAAGGACGGCCAGCTCAAAACTTTGGTGCCTGAGGTGGAAAATGGCATCCTTCTGCCAATGTGTATCGTATATACCTGCCAGGACACCAAAAACCTTTTCAGAAGACATTTTCTGGATATTCCTGCCAAATGCGGCAAGACCAGTGGCCACAAGAGACAGTGACTTTTCAGTGGTGGCTCCTGGCTAGGGAATGCCTTCCTCACTTGTTCATTGCATTGTGCTCTTGTCAGCACCAAGCGAAGACCTTTATATTTCCCCAGTTTCTCTCTCCAGTTTCAGAACTTTTAAAAACAGTTCTTTACGCTATTGCTGTTTCTCTTGCTAAGCATTTTGCAAGCTCTACAATCAAATGACAATAAAAAAGCTTGCTGGAATTTTTAAAAAGTCTTCAGTAGATGCCGGAGGTTCGGTTCCGGGGCGGGGGGGAGGACTGGGCCCGTAGTATTAAACGCATGGCTCCGGGTGGATTCGTGAATTTAACTTTTATTTGTGAACTGCACAGAGGACTTTTTGTTAACTGCAGGTAGAAAATCCGCCGCTGTGGCATTACACAACTCTGGTTTGTTTGAACAACAGTTGTGCTGGAGACTAGATAGAGCCCTATGGACCACCTCTCTCTCCCCTCTGCAAACACTTTGGCACCCGCAAAGGAACTCTGAAATCTGCCTCCTCTTCTTTGCTGTAGGACCACCCTTGGGAAAGGCATAGAGCTGCAGTGTATCTTCCAGGGCAAGGATGGATATGGAGGTCCTTTTCTGCTTGCTTCCCCCTTACATCATTTGGCTGGGCTAATTTGTTTGCGCCTTTTGACTTAAATCGCCACTTAATGGTCCGTTTATTACAATACAACGGCATACGTAAGGCGCTTTGAATACTTGAGCATAAATGCAGATGTGGTGTTATTATCCCCATATTGCAGACAGGAATGCTGAGAGGGGGTGGCTGGGCTAGGGCCAGCTGATGATTTCATGGCAGCTGAGAGAGCTTAAACTTTGAGGAAGGGTCATAGCTCAGTGGTAGAGCATCTGCCTTGCATGCAGAACGTCCCAGGTTCAATCCCCAGGTAGGGCTGGGAATGTCCAAGTATGTACTGAGAGCATGCAGGCATCCTGCACCTTCTCTGCAAACAGAGTGCTTATTATTATCTGGATTAACCAGGGGTAGTGGGAGGGAGGGATGACGCTACCTTATTACGGCAGGTAGTTGGACTTTCCTGATGCGCCAGTGGTGCAATACTTGTCTTGGGTGGGGGGGAGTGGCACTGCCGATAACATTCACAAACAGGGGGGCACTCGTATTTGATAGTGGCCTTGCCAAATGCATCTGTTTCAGCACGGGAGAGAGAAGTCCTAACCAAAGCAGGAGGGCACACAGCTTGGTACGTGAGAGACAGACAAATAGAAAGTCTGGTGCCAATGCTTCTGGATGCTTGTGTACCTGAGGGGCTGTCTATCAATGCATTTTGAGATGGAGTGGGGACCTCTGACAGTCCTTATATACTCCACTGATTCCAACAACCAGCACCCGTGTGGTTTTGTTGGTGTTTTGTTGGTGTAGGACCTGGACAGGTAAAAGGTAAAGGTAAAGGGACCCCTGACCATTAGGTCCAGTCGTGACCGACTCTGGGGTTGCGGCGCTCATATCGCTTTATTGGCCAAGGGAGCCGGCGTACAGCTTCCGGGTCATGTGGCCAGCATGACTAAGCTGCTTCTGGAGAACCAGAGCAGCGCATGGAAACGCCATTTACCTTCCCGCCGGAGCGGTACCTATTTATCTACTTGCACTTTGAGGTGCTTTCGAACTGCTAGGTTGGCAGGAGCAGGGACCGAGCAACGGGAGCTCACTCCGTCACGGGGATTTGAACCGCTGACCTTCTGATCAGCAAGTCCTAGGCTCTGTGGTTTAACCCACAGTGCCACCCGCGACAACTGGGGTTCAAATCCCCACTCATCCCACTGGGAGAGCTTGGGCCAGAGACCAACTCTCAGCCTGACCTAGCTCACAGGCTTGCTGTGAGGAAAACATGAGGGAAGGGGGAAATCGTGCATGCCACCTTGAGCCTCTTGGAGGAAAAGTGGGACGTAAAGATAACAGCACATAAAAGATACCAAAGTGGGCAAAGGGACATCATTCTAGAAGTGAGCTCATATATTATTTTCTTGCTCAATAGGTTTATAGGCCATCCAATAAGCTTAGCATTGTATACATGGAATGCCTAGGTAGCTAGACAGCCAGGTAACTGACCTGTTTGGTTTCTCTGATGAATCTATTCCTGGTGCACGTGTGTGGTTCTTTGTGTACGTTTATGACTTAGCAGGCAATGGGAAATATGTCTGCCTGAAACCCTGGATAGCTGCTACCAAGCTAGCTGGATGAAAAGTCTCAGCAGATATAAGGCAAGTTCCTAACCACATCCAATGGCCTTGGGTCATTTCTCTGGACCCAGTTACAGAATAGAAATGGGCTTCAATTGATTGAGCTGGTAGACCAGTTCTTCCCAAACTTGGGTCGCCAGCTGTTTTTGAACTACAGTTCCTATCATCCCTGACCATTTGTGCTGCTAGCTAGGGATGGTGGGAGTTGTAGTCCAAAAACAGCTGGAGACCCAAGTTTGGGAAATGCTGTGGATGACAAAGACAGGGACAGCCAAGGTTAGATTCACAATGGTGTGTGTGTGTAGACTCCTGTGCAGGGCTAAGCATATGGTTCAGGGTGAATTGAAGCAGAATTGGAAGATGGAGATGGGCCAAGGCAAAAAGGAGAAGGAGGGCTCGAGGAAGCACTGGGCGTGGAAGAGGAGCAGGTGAGTGCTTGATACCTCCTGGCAGTAGCTCCGGATCTCCTCACTGGTGTGGAAGCAGGTGTTGGTGCCGAAGGCGTCAGGCTCCCAGCGCCCTGTCTGTACATTGAGATGCAGGACCAGCTTCCCACAGAACATGGCCACTTGGGGAGTCCCGAGTGCCGGGCCAAGGGCTGCCCCCATCCCCTGCAACACACAAAGGGAAGAGAGGGGTGATAAGTCGGGCACGTTCTGCAAAACACCAGGCACACGTTTGGATCACGTTGAACAGTCTCCCCCTAGCAGGGCACCTCCCAGAGCTAGCAGGGAAGGGTGTTCCCCGGCCACATCACTCCCATGACCCCCCACGAAGCCTCGCATCTTCGCATCTACCTGCCCTTTTGCTGTTTCCCTCCCCCCCATCTTTGTTTGCACCATCTCTCTGTCTCTCTCCGTCTTCTCCTCCTCAGCAACCGTGGGGATGTTGTTGCTGTGGCAACCGCTCCCCATGGAGTTGCCAGATCTTCTCTGTTGCCATGGAGACCAGCTCCCAGATGGAAATTAATACTGCATCACCAGCCCCTCCCTCAGCAGTTTCTCATCTTGGGCCCACTCCCACCAGGCAGCACCACACCTCCTCCTTGTCTTCCTCGCCGCCCCCCACCGCTCCCAGCTCACCTTCCTTCCACTCCCTTTCTCTATTCCTTCATCTAGAATCTCGCTATGCTGCCATCCATCTCTGTCCAAACGCCATCCCCCCCTCAGTTTCCTCCCTCCCTCCCATCTCAGTCAGTGTTTCTCACAGTGCCGCTTCATTGGGCCTCCACAGCTGGCACCCACGAGACAAACAAGGTGTGGGTCGAGCAGGGGCGCCCCCACCTTATCATTCTCCTCTGTCCTGTGCTTGCCCCTCTCCACTTCCACTAAGGGGCCCAGGCCTCTGAGGGCCACTGCAGCACCAGTGTGCCTGGTTCAGTGACAACAACGCTGTTTTCATAACTTCACCCGGCTGGACCAAAGGCACAAACAAGGCCTTATTCACCACAGTGTCCAAGGTAGCAAGTCAGAAGGCGGCACTAGAAAGGGGGAGACAAGGCCCCAGCTAAACAAGCAGCTGTAGGCTAAGGATAGATGGGTCTGTTAATTTCAGTTCCTCCCCCTTTTTTCTAATATTACACTCAGTTCTCCACATTTTCACATCAGTTAGCAAATTTGAAAGGTCCTCATGAAAATTGTCAACATTTTCCTGCTGATTCCTCCTAATATATATGTGTTTTATGCAATTCTGCCTAATTCATGTTTGCAAGCAAAACACATTGCTTATGTTGCTTCTGCTAGCATAGTATATTTTTACTCTCATATTTTTGTACATATTGCATGGCTGGAGAGGTGCATTGCAAAATTCAGAGAGACACGTGAATTTCTAGAATTGTAGAGTTGGAAGGGACTGTGAGGGTCATCTAGTCCAATCCCTTGCAATGCAGGAATCTTTTGCCCAACGTGGGGCTCAAACCCACGACCCTGAGATTAAGAGTCTCATGCTCTACTGACTGAGCTATCTCAGCATGGTTGCATTTCAGTTTCTGTGCTGCCTTGGAAAGCGAGAATTACAACACAAACTGAACTGAACTTTCTCCCCTGATTCCTAGCCACAGGTTCCTCAGCCTTGACCTAAAACAGCCTAACATTTTCCTGACAGAGCCAGTTCAAAACAGCCAGGCAGAAATGGGGCACAACCTTCCACAAAACACCAACATTCACAACAGGGAATTCATTTATTTCCAAAACCACCTCTGTGTCAAAAAATTTTTTTGTCTCCATGCAGAAAGCCAATACATTAGTGTGTTTACTAGGCATCCTAGACTCACCCTTCAAACATAGCTATTTTACACCCACCACAGAATTTATAAGACGTGCAAGTCCACTTTTAATTTAAAAGCAAAACAACCAAACTAAAAGGGGGCATTTAATTAATAAAACATTTGGTAATTGCAAACTGAACTGAATCTCTTCCCACTTTCCTAGCTAAGGCCAAAGCAATAATAGGTCTGGAAGGAATCAGAGGGATGTAGCCAGATAAGTCGTACCCAGAGTAGTCCCACTGAAATGAATGGGTGCGTGATATTACGATTTATTAACTTACATATTGGTTCCAAAATGGCTTCTAAGCAGTTTCCAAGCACAAAATTCCTTACAAAATTCGTACGCAATCGAAATGCACAATGAAGTTGGCCATGCCCGTTCATTTCAATAGGTCTACTCTGGGTAGGACTAGCATAAGATACAACCCATCGGAAGTCCGGATCTGGAGAGACAAATTGCAAGCAGTGCTGGCTGCAGGCCAAGGATGGGGGCCAGCCTGTGAAAGGGCTACAGACACACAGAGTTTGTTTTAAGCGTGGGTGTAGCAAGAGCAAACACAGCACTTGAGGGACAAGTGTAAAGAGGAGCTGCAGGAGGACGATGAGTGTGGGGGACCTGTGGTGCTAGTGGTGGGGGCGGGCGGGAGAGGAGATGGGGGGGGAGGCAAAGATGTCTTTGGTTCCGGCTAGGAGAACCAGCGGTGGAGCTGCAAAAAGACTTCCCTGCCACTCCCACTTCCCCTGCAGTCTCCGCTCTGCCTGGATTGAACTAAGGATCTCAGTTTTCCTGCTCTTGGGGAGGAGGGAGAAGGTGACAGCTTGAGGCAAGGGAGGGAGATTAGGAAGACCTGCTCTGCAATCCCCCCAAGAGATGGGGGGGGGTGGACAGTGCAACCAGGAACACACGTCAGGTACATACGGGGTCTGCACTTTCCCTCCAAGCTGGTGGAGGGTGGCGGCGGGGGGGGGGGGATGAATAGAACAGGCAACTGTGTGTGTGTGTGTGCGTGTGTGCAAGGGGGAGGACAATGGAGAAGTGAGGCTTGGATTAAGTTGGATCCCGTGGCTAAGCTGCTGCTCTGAGCGATTAAGCAGCTGCTGCAATTTGGTTGCAGGCTGACCTCCCTGCAGGCCGGGGTGGAGTGGGGTTAGGCATCAAAAACAAAATGGGGGGGTGCAGAAAAAAGGAGAGGCCTGAGTCATCACCCCCCCATCCAATCAGCACCCTGACCAAGAATCGGGGGGTGCGTGCGCATAAACACAGCAGCATCAATGACAGGTGAACGACAACAAAGAGGTAGCCGGGAAATGGAAGCCAGAGCGGCAGGGAAGTGGTTAATTGGCACCGGGATTAATAAGTGCAGCGCTAATCCCCCCTCCTGCTCCCCCCACAAGCACTTAGTGAGATGAGATAGAGAGGAGAGGAAGCATCCACCTGCTTCCCCCCTCCCCCCCTCCAACACAGGATCTGCGGTGTGTGTGTGTGTGTGTGTGTGTGTGTGTGTGTTAGGGACCCTGCAGGAAAAAAACCACAGTCTGCTGGCTCTCCCCAACTTTACGTTGCAGGATGAAACTATGCAGGGTTAAAAGAGGGATGCAGCCTAAAAGAGGCAGAAGTGCGGGGGGGGGAGGTAAAAAGGAAGGGAGATGGAAAAGGCTTATGTTTTCTCTCTGCCTCCCTCAAAGCTGCAACTCGCCCTGCATCCCATCCCTCCTGAGCTGATTCAGGCTGCTCAGAGCATCACAGCACCAGCTAGCTGTGTGAGATGGAGGAAGAGCGGGCCGGGAGCCAAGCGAGAAGCAGAGGGGTGAGAGGTGGAAGAATTGAGGCTCCTTTTTGCTCCTCCTGGCCTGTGGAGCAGCAGGCACCTCAGGAAGCACCCCAAATTTATGGGGAACCTCGCCCATGTAAAGACGATGGATTTTGCAAGTCTCTGCAGAAATGCAGGCTTGTGAAAGGACCCCGTTCCCTTTTCCAGTGGAGGAGGGTGGCAAGTCCGCCCACCTAACAACCCTTGCTTGGCACCACACACTTGAAGCAGATCAGTGAAAACACACTACTGCAAAAAGGTGAAGGGTTGCTAGTGGGAGGGTGACATGGGGCTTCTCTGTGATAATACGGCCACAATCCCCATTGCGACCAGGAGGAGATGAATACAGCAACTGGATGAGTCCTTCTAGCCCTCTTGGTAGATTGTGGCGCATGCAGAAGGGACAAGTAGAAGACTAGAAATAGCTTTCATTTCTAATACCGCACGCTATGTTCGGATTTAGGAACAATGGCAACTCAACTGCATTTACAACAGGAATTCCTCTGTGGGCTTTTACCACTGCCGTCCCACTTCAAGCAAGCCACAAATTGCCCGAGCTGCAGACAGTTCTCTTCTCTCAAGGAAAACAAAGAACAGCTCATCACAGGTCTCCCAGCTGCTGTGAAGTAGAAACAGGGGACACCTAAGGGAGATGTGGGCTGGGCCTTGCGAAGCAGAACACTTTGGGTTCCACCCCTGCTGACCCCATCCTCAATATGATGGGGAGGGCAAAGGGTGGCAGGCCCATCCAGTCTTCTTCCTAACTGAAGAGTTCGTAGAATCTTCTTGCTGGAACACAAAGATCATGGCTCTGTCTAGACCAATGTTTTGTCTCCAACCATAACTAGTTCGCTGCCTTGGACAGTTATAAGTTGGGCATGAGACCACAAGACAGGGCTTTTGGCTTGTCCAGGAGCTTCTCTACTGGAAGAGACCCTACCAAGAGATGTGAAGGTCTGGAAAATAACTGGGGGGTGGATCTGGGTTTTCTCCCTGCATTTTTGGTGGGGAAGAACAGTGTGTGTGTGTATAGGGGTGGGAATCTGGGGAACAGGTTTTCCCTTAATTTTCCTAGTTTCTTTCTTGGGCCTTCACATCTCTGGCATGACTGCCAGAGGTGTACCACCCCCGACACCTTCCTGGGGAAGGACAAGTGGGGAGAGTGCTGTTGCACTCATGCCCTGCATGTGGACTTCCTAGGCATGTGTTTGGCCACTGAGAGAAAAGGCTGGGCAAGACAAGGTGTTAAATCTGGCCCAGCAGAGGACCTTCTCACAGAGGTGCTCTATTTAGCCAACAGGTAGGGCCTGCAGAAAAGTGTTGCAGTAGGAAGCACTCCTGTTCAGGGCTCAAGCCAGCTAGCCATGCCTACTTCAAGGTACTCCATTCCATTCTCTCTTCCTGCTGCCTCCCCCCCAATACTCTACCTTTTATGTTGACAGAGCAAGCTAAAGTCTCATTAGATTGCTTAGGTTCCCCCATTTGTTGTCCTTCTCTAGCCTGCTAGGACCACAAAGCTTGCCAGTCTGTATATTAGATATGGAGATGATAGAAGGTAGGTCTGTCTGAAACTAGCAGCTGCCACCATCACAAGAACACACGAAGAACCACAGTTCCCATGTGCTTTCTTGCTTTCTGATCAGAAAGGAGCCAAGTTCTGTATTGAGAACACAGGATCTTAGCGCTGAACGAGCCCCATTTGGGAAGGAATAATTATTATCGCATGCCTCCCACCAAGAAACAGCACATGATGACTCTATTGCCATTATTCACCTGTTCTCAGGGGGGGGGGAAGTATCCTGAGATCTGGTAGGGTACAAGCAAGTATGGCCAATTGGTTTTCTTTTGCCAACTAGGCTCTTCAGCACTGACAACCTCACCACCATGGCAAACACAGATGGTGCTTCTCCGGCGCAATGTGCCAACCCATGGCCAAAAGCCATCTCCCCCAACAGAGCAAAGCAAGAAAGGAGTAGCGAGCAAAGTCTTCCCCATCCTCTCCACCGCCCCAACACATGTGCCATGAGGAATCTGCATCCAAACCAAGGCTTTGGACGGGGGTCTTGTGCTACAGAGGACCAAGAATGGTGCAGGACCAGGAAGTTGCTTCTGCATCTTATCTCAGTGAGCTAAGGGTGGGAGGCAGGACTTGGCAGGGGCTCCTTAGAGCAGTGTTTCCCAACCTTGTGCCTCCAGCTGTTTTTGAACTACAACTCCCATCATCCCTGACTAGCAAGACCAGTGGCAAGGGATGATGGGAATTGTAGTCCAAAAACAGCTGGAGGCACAAGGTTGGGAAACACTGCCTTAGAGTCAGAAACACCTGCAGCCTTTCATCAAAGGGTTACAACAAGGTCCTAAAGAGAGCCAGGGAGGATGAAGAGCAGGCCTGCAGCTTTGGCCTGGGGGGGGGGGGGAGGCAGCAGAGTGGGCAACAATCGAGACCAAAACCACATCTGACATGGAATAACTGCAATCTGAGCTCCTGGTTTTTTGTTTTTTGTTTTTTTATGGGGGGCTCCAGATTTAATTTGAGTAGAAATGGTGGGGGCAATGCTGGCCCTAGGCCTAAGCAGCCTCCCTCCCTCCCTCCCCCCCCCCCGGTCAGTGAGCTAACCCCCCACTGCAGTAGGTCCAGGGGGTCTCTTGCCAGGGGAGGGGGCCCTCAGCAGATGCTTGAGCAATGCCAATTCTTGATAGGGAAGATATGGCACAGTCTAGGCTTGATGTTGCGAGTGGAGACCATCCTGCGCTCCACAGAAGATGGCAGGTTGACAGCCCAGATGGAGGACTGCAATCATCACCAGGCATGGCTTGGCCCACCAGCCTCTCTCTCTGCTGTGCATATGAGAGACAGACAGGCTCTCTGCAGGCCCCGTCGCATCATTTCAAAACAAGTCTCTTTTGGTACTTTCCCGGAGCTCAGGAAGGCCACCATCTGCTCAACCCTCATTGCTGTGTTGGATGGGACAGATAATAGGACAGTTCCCTGGCTTCCAAGCCATGGGGCTGAGGGGCTGTGAAGTTCACCTGGGGGGATGTGTCCCCCGCCCCTCTGCAATCCTGGGTAGGTCAGTGGGATTTGGGCTGCATGCACACCATACATTCAAAGCACATTTCCCCCACTCCCGCACCAGAAGAATCCTGGGAAGCGTAGTTGGTAAGGGAGGCTTAGAACTGTAGATCTGGACAGGGGAAACTACAATTCCCATGGTTATGTTTAAATGTAAGGTCCGTATGCAGCCTTGCTCACAGGCAAGCAAAAACAAAACAGAGAGGAGTGCCAATCCGGAGAGAAGAGCCACACTCCCCAAATGAGCCCAAGGGCCCCTTAAAAATGCCCCACTGGCTTTGAAACAAGGGGGCCCTGCAGCCCAGCCCCCAAATGTCTCTTTCCCTCTCCGGAGGCAAAAGGTGAGACGTCTGGGGTCCAGAGGAGGTCTAAGGGAGGAGGGGGAAAGCGCCAAGCCACACCGGCCTCTCTTCTCGCTTTGGGGACACCCCGTCTCCCAAGCAGATGAAGCGGGTGGGTGTCGATCCCCGCCCCCCAGGCCTCCTATCTCCAGATGGAATCTGGGCAGGGCGAGCAAACAGCAAAACAGATGCCCGCTTCTCCTTGGAACAGGCAATAGGCGCGCAGGCAGAGGGGGGGGGCTGCTGGGCTTCCCCCCTCCCTGCCCAGTCCTTTGCCTGGCCATCACCTACGACGTCGCCTCCTCCAGCCGTTACTCTCCGTGCTAGCTAGCTAGCAGCCAGCCAGTCTGCCTGCCCGCCCGCCCGCTCTCCCTCCAGGCGCAGGTTTCCCGATAAGCGCCTCCTTCCTTAGCCTCTTAACCAGGAGGAGATCCGAGGGGATCAAGGGGTCTCTCCCCTGTGCCAGTGACCTTGGGCAACCCGCCCCGGACACCTTGAGCGCGCCATCCTCGCCCGGCAGTCCCCTCCTTCTGCGCTCCAAAGAGACACCTCGTCGAGGCTGGGCAATAAAAGCCCCCGCAAGCTCCCCGGGCGCAGCAGCCGCCCAGGAGGCTCTCCCTTCCTTTCTCCCTCCCGCCTGCCCCACCCACCCACCCTCTCGGCGGGCTCACCTGGGTGTTGGCTGCGCCTCCAGGCCCCAGGCAAGAAGCCAGCAAGAGCAACGGCGCCAGCAAGCAGCGCGCAGCGACGGCGCATCCCGCCGCCCTAGCCATGGCTCGCTCGCTCGCTCTCCCTTTCAGCCGACGCTGCGGCCGCTTCTTCTGCGGCGCCCGGGAGCTTCCCGCCTCCTTCTGGCGGCACGGCCAAGGGGGAACCCGGGATGGGTGGCGGCGCTGGGGGAGATCCTAGGGCTTGGGGGTCGCCTCCCTGCGCGCGCTTGCACCAGCTCAAGCGCTGCTGCTGCTGTTGCTGCGGCGCCGTCGGTTCCCAGCTGGGCTGTGACAGGAGGAGCTGGCCCCGCTGCTGCTGCTGCTGCTGCTGCTGCTGCCACCGCCTGCTCCTCCTCTTTCCCCGCTGCAGCGCTTCTCCCTGGCCCCTCCTCCTTGCCCCTCCCGCCGCTCTGCCTGCAGCCACAATAGCTGCGACGTAGCGCCCAGAAGGGCGGAGCCAGAGTCTCAGCAGCCTGGGGGCGGGGCTCGCGGGCCGCTTGCAGACGGAGGCGGTGGGCGGGGAGCCTTCGCGGCTGCCCCTTTTCCAAGCAAGAGAGTGGGGCGGGGGGAGGCTGGGGTGTCCCGTCCCCGCCGTCGAACCTGGTCGCCGTGCGCTCTTCTTCCCAGCCGGAAAACGCCCATCGCCCTTTGGATCCGAGGTGCCTGGAGGAAAGGCGGCGGGATTGCGGAGAGAGGCGAGGGAGGGGCCTGCGGCGACCATGGAGAGGGTTTCTGGTAGAAGGGAATGGTACTCTGTCCATGCTTAGGGGCGGTCTCGCTTTAGGCTGCAGTTCAGAGACACCACTTACCCTGGAGCAAGGCCCATTCAGTTCAATGGGATTTATTTCCTAGTAGGATGGGGTTGTTAATTAGACAGTGGGTGCGGCGCGAGGAGAGCTCTTCTTGATGAGCCTTTGGGTGATGTCCGAAAGTCCCTTAGTGATGCGCTTAGGTAGTTTTAGACTCTGGACTTTATGGTCCCATGCCCCAGCTTTTGATGACAATGTGGAACTTTGCTTCCTTCCTGCTTGGAGACTGGTGGGGCCATGCCCCCGATACAGTTTGTCAGAGGGGCAGGAGGCAACTGCCCCCTTTGTGAGTTCACATGAATGCCTAACTAGTGCTCCCCCCACAAGCCCTCTTCAGACATCCAAAAAACCTTGGTTTTGCATTTATAGCACACCTTTCCTCCAAATAACTCCAGGAGAAGCACACAGTTCTCTCCCTTCCACATTTTATCCTCACAAGCCTGTGAGGTAGCTTAGGCAGAGAGAGCAAGACTGGCCCAAGGGGTACCAGTGAGCTACATGGCTGTGGGGGGTGGGGTGGGTCTCCCATGCCCCAGCCCAGCACACTAACCTGTTGCAGGGACAGTGAGGTGCATGATCTTGCTTCACCAATCCCATTCACAGATTCTGAACATCCCAAAGAGCCTTTTCCCTTCTGTTCTCCTTTGAATTGAGAGACTCCTGTCGCTCAGATGAGTTCAGAGCAGGTAGAAGTTCCCCATCATCTGGACTTCCCTAGTAAATTTCTGTTTGCTGTGTATGTTGTTAAACCTTTCAGATCCTTGGTGCATCTAGTAGCCCAGCACTGACTGCTCTGACTAGAAACAGCTCTCCAGGGTTTTGGGCAGAGTTATTTCTCATCGCTTGGTACCAGAGATCTTTTTATTCATGGAGATGCCATGGAATTGGTGATGGGTCCCAAGACTTACATGCAAAGCAAGTTCTGTGCTTCTGAGTGACATTATGCTCACCCATTTGAGACCCGCCATGGGGTAAGGTGGCCTCCGTAAGCAAATCCTTTGACCGTTGACACAAAGAGATTGTGAAGAGCTCTAGAAACGATCCAAAATTCTCTCTCCAAACTGTGACAATGGCAAATGCAATTCAGTGTAAACAGGAGCAAAGTGGTGCATGTTGGGGGTGGGGACCCATCGTTTCACATATACGCTCATTGGGGTTTGAACTTGTGGCAAGTGACCAGAAATAAGACCTTGCGGCTGCAGTAAATAGCTTGATGATGATGTTGGTCATGCCAGATTGTGGCACATCTCTGAAAAAGTACAAAATTCACATGGAAGGCAGCACATGGCAGCCTCAGGGGTAAATTTGACAGCAAATTCAGCCTGGGAAACGTGGAAAGGGCGCATGTTGCTCTCTTGTCCTTTAAGAGATGGGGACTTGGTCAGCAGCTGGTTAAGAGATGGCTAGAAGCCCCCTGTGAGCCGCTCTGAATTTTCCAAGGAGCGATTTTGCCTCCTTGGAATGTGCCCTTGAACACTGATAATGCTAGAGAGATGGTATATGAGTGGGTGCGCAAACTTTCACCCGCTTCCGCTCCTGACCGCAAGAAGCTTGCTGCATGAAGGAGAACATCACATTCCGTTCGCTCACTTTCCCTTCTGGCCTTGCCCACTGCTTGGCATCTAGCTCCCAAAAGGTTACCCTGCAGGGAATATGGCCCCTGGGTTTGAAAACGGTGTCCCTATGCTCCAGAGACCCCTCATGTGGGAGCTTTTGCTGCTGCTAAGTCAGCCACACCTTGTCTCTGTGGCCTGTTCATGCAGGGATGCTGGCCCATTGCTCAGGGCAGCCTCGTGTGACAACCTGTGTAAGTGAGCGAGACGTACCTTCTAAAAAGAGGCTATTTGCACATTTAGCTGCTCTTTATTTCTGAGTAATGAGAGAGATCAAATGGACGAAGAATGGCCGGTTTCATTGGACTGACCGCTGCCTCTTAACAGCTGCTTGATCTGCAGGTGCTGGATCTCTTTTCTCTCCATGCTTTGAAGATCTGCCCAGACCTACATTGATGTTACGATCTTGGTCCAGTAAACATGGCATTATTGGGCTGAGGATGAGTCTGGTGGAGCTCCCTTCCTTCCTTCCTCTCCTCTGGTGCTTTATACTGGAGAATTTCCTGTTGGAGCCACTCTTGCCTGTGTTTGTTCCATACCCATTCTGTCCTGTTTCTGTGCTAATCGGCACATTAAAAAAAAAAAAGGAAAAAAAAACTGCACAAAAGTTCATATTTAAGTACCTACTTTTGAATGCCTTTTGTCATGTGCATTTCTGTAGCATCTCCGAAAGTCACGCTTTTATACTATTACCTCCTAAGATGCACATCAGGATCTGACCCATTGGCCTGTCAAGGCCAGCATCCCGTTCTCACAGCAGCCAGCCAGCCAGATGCCTATAAGAATCCTGCAAACAGGATTGTGAGCGCAATAGCGATCTTTTGCCCATTCTGATTTGTCAGGACTTGTGCAGATCGAAGTTCTCAAGCATCCCTAGTTAAAAACTTCGCCTTTTCACTGATGTCTGAAAAACTGGGAATCCTTTTGCTCCCTTGATGGTGAACTGGGATGTGAAGCCGGCACAGGAAGGATGAGGAAGCAGAAGTCCTCCATGCCCCAAATCAAGACGTAATTCTTTCAGGGAGGGAAAGTGCCCTCTGGCATTCAGTTACAACCACATCGCATCACCTCATCTCTGCCTTGTGACACTGACACACTCTGTGAACAAACACTCGCAGAGCAGGGACCCAGCTGCTCTCCACTCTTGTTATGATGCCCGGCAGTGTTAAGCAGAACGCATTATGGAGAGCTGCAGCGAGGGCCAGGAGACTGCTGCAACCAATGGCAACCAGCTAGCATGCTAGTGCAGCAAATGCAATTAAGGCAGCTGAGAGAAGGAAGAGGACCTCTCTCTCTCTCTCTCTTGCCTTGCAAGAGAGAGTAAAAGGCAGGGTGAGGCTGGATGGTTTGCTAAATCACAGCTTGTTGCTCTCACCCGGCAAGGATGTCCCTGTGTTCAGCACAGGAGCCACAGATTGCCCTTCTAGGTTTTTCCCTACTGAGGGGAACAGAAGCAGTGATCTGTGGGCCTGACAAGATGTCTCGGGAAGTGTGCTGTCTCCCCGGGGCTAAGATCCAAGATGTAACTGAGCGACTGCAAGGAATCATAAAACCCACTGACAAATACCCCTTCCTCTTGGTTCATGTGGGAACCAATGACACGGCAAGCAATAGCCTCCAGAAGATCAAAAGAGACTACGAGGCTCTCGGCAGGAAATTGAAGCAACTAAATGCACAAATTGTCATCTCATCGGTCCTCCCAGTTGAACGACGTGGCCCAGGGAGAGAGGGAAAAATAGTGGAAGTGAACAGCTGGCTTCGCAAATGGTGTAAACAGGAACGGTTTGGATTCTTAGATCACGGACTGCAGTTTCTTGAAGATGGACTTCTGGCAAGCGATGGGCTGCACCTCACAACGGTTGGGAGAAATGTTTTTGCCAAAAATCTCAGAAACCTCATCAGGAGGGCTTTAAACTGACTAATGTGGGGGAGGGAGACAGTGCTCCTGAAGGTAGGAAAGGTAGGAGTCTATCAATTGATGAAGATGATCATCCAAATGTCATAGACCAAATGGAGCAAACAGCACGCAGACCTAGTGGTGGGAGGAAAAAATCCTTAAATAAGAGACACGGGGGAATGATTAATGGACTTCAATGTCTGTACACTAATGCGCAAAGCATGGGAAATAAACAAGATGAGCTTGAGCTCTTGGTACAGCAAACTAAATATGACATAATAGGCATCACTGAAACCTGGTGGGATAAGTCCCACGATTGGAATGTAATAATGGGGGGATACAATCTATTTCAGAGAAACAGACCAGACAAGAAAGGAGGAGGAGTGGCGTTATATGTCAGGGATGTGTATACCTGTGAAGAAATCCAAGATTTAGAACCTCAAAGCCAAAGTGAGAGCATTTGGGTCAAAATTAAGGGAGAGAAGAAGAACAGAGACCTCATTGTGGGAGTTTACTATAGATCCCCAAGCCAAACGGAGGACATAGATGATGCCTTCCTGGAACAGATGGCCAAGCATGCAAAAGGAAGGGAGATAGTAGTAATGGGGGACTTCAATTACCCAGATATTTGTTGGATGTCAAACTCAGCCAAGAGCATAAGGTCAAACAGATTCCTCACTGGCCTTGCAGACAACTTCATTGTCCAGAAAGTGGGAGAAGCAACAAGAGGAACAGCCATTTTAGATCTGGTCCTAACCAATGTTGATGACCTGGTTAGTGGGGTAGAAGTGGAAGGATCATTAGGCGCGAGTGATCATGCTCTTCTGAAGTTTACTATACAGCGGAAAGGAGCAGCCAAGCATACTAGGACTCAATTTCTTGACTTTAAGAAAGCCGACTTCATAAAACTTAGGGAAGTGCTGGGTGAGATCCCATGGACAGTAATACTAAAAGGAAAGGGAGTTCATGATGGCTGGGAGTTTGTTAA